CATGTAGACGGACAGCAAGACATATTGGCAAATGTTTGGAAAGCATTTGATGACACAACAACGACGAAAGCGGCAGACTGAAATTTTCGTTTTATTGAAATTAATCGAATGATGGGGACCAGATGGGCTGGGTGGTGCGATACCACCCAACCAACTACGCACCACACCGTTAATCTTCACCGATAAGAAAGAGGGAAACGTTAAAAGAATCGTAGCAACAACAAAACAAAAGGCAGGACGCGGCAAATTTTATGGCGCACTTGTTTCGCGTTAATCGCATATCGTAAACTAAGCATTTTTACGGCACCTGCGGTAATGGATTACTATACCCCCAAACCACTCCCTCTCTGTGTGTCCGCCCTCCCGCCCATACACAACGCGTTGTAAACAGCACTCGTCATTGGTTGGAAAATTAATAAAGTTAAGTGTCGAGCACAATAAAAATAAAATTTCTGGCCTTGAGTAACCCCTCGGGTTGGACCCTCGTCCCTACAACCACAGTCTCTCTCTCTCTCTCTCTCTCTCTCTCTCTCTCTCTGTGTGTGGGTGCCACCCACTGGCAAGTTAGCGAGGCGTGAAACAGCCGGCCTCGGGCAATGTCAAGCTCCATAGGTCGGTTTGGCTTTCTCGGTTATGGCTTTGCTTTGCAATAATTGCAAAAGTGCAATAAATTTTCTTTTATTTGGGCGCTTTAAACTGAAAGTGGAAACCGGCCACAAAGGCAACGTTGGTAACAGCCGGCAATAACATGTGCAATTTAAGCCCAACTGTCGCATGCCTCTACACGTGGGGATTATTAGAGATGGTCATTAAATGGATAACTTTTGAAAATAATTAATCAATTAGAATCGACTCAAAACTCAAGTGCAATATATTTTGTATAAATATTATCTATAATTAACACTCCAAGGACCCTCAACTAATGCACAGTATTTGCTCTGAAATTAACGTTTAATAATAATTTAAAATAGTTATGTGCTATCGAGCTTTTACCAGAAAATTCTACATTTATTGCTCTTTCTTTTGTATGCTGTTCGTGTCACGCAATAAAAATACAAACAACAAAAAAGAACACGAAATGCACTCAACTCTAAGTGGGCAAGCTGTGAGCACCTGTGCCCCATGCAGCGGCAACAGCAGCTCACATGACTCGTCCGGAAATGTAAATACGCAGAGCGGCATACGCGGCCAGTTGTTGTGTGTGGGAATGTGTGTGTGTGTGTGCGTATGTGTATGCGTGTGTGTGCGTATGTGTATGCGTGTTGATTGACAATGGGCTGCAATGCACGACACTGTGGCGACTCTGATTGGAATTTATAGCACGTTTTTGGTTAGATGCCGTTATTGGGGTCCAGCAAAGCGTATCCTTGCATTATGGATGGACAAGGGGTAGCTGGCTAGGGTGGTAGGGTTGGTTGGTATACCGGGGCTTCACATTAACGACGCAGCGCCTCGAAAGCTCTATATCAATGTGTTCGGGCGCGAGCTGACGTACGCTTTTGTCCTGTCAATGGAAAGGACAACGTCGGCTAGCTGAGAAATTAAATAAGTAAAACACGAAGCGAAGCAGTCGCAATAAAAACTGGCGGGCAATAATAAAAGAAGAAACACACACACACACATGCACACTCACCCCAAACCACACTTTCCGCAAGAGTGTTGCACATACATGTAGGCGTGCGTGTGTGTGTGTGTGTGTCTGTGTGTGCGAGACTTAACACGCAGTCGATGGGCACATTTCCGGCGTAAAAATCCTGTGAGACGCGTACCCCGAGCTGGTTGCCTCCGTCGCGGACAGCGCACATTTCATAAATCACATAATAAAACCCATAAATTTCGTATGCAGCGCCAAGATGAAAAGTGCGCAAGCAACAAAATACAAAAGAGAAAAGAATGGAAATACAGTGCTGCAACGACCAGCTGCAAGAAGACGAATTCTATCTGATATCCAAACACACCACATGCCACATGCTGTATCTTCCCCTATTGTCCAGCCACCCAGCCGCCACCCCAATCGAACTCAATGATAAGGCTGCAAGTCGACGGTCTTTCTTTCCCTCCCTCTCTCTCCGTATTGCTTTGTGAGTCTGATGTCAGAAGTTTTAATAAGCTTTGCAAAGGATATTGGAGTTTGTCATGAAATAAATAAATCAGAGGGAGACATCTATAATGGAAAACAATTAATATATAAAATTAAGCAAATTGTCTAACTTATTATTTAAATAAGTTTTATGTATGTGATAAAATGATAATAATTGATTTCAAAACACTCGAACACTGAAAAATACAATTGAGTTTACTTATTTATTTTTTAGATTTGACATTTAAAGATAATTTTACATTATTCAACACTACTCAGTCCTACAGCAGCTGATTTCAAGTTAAATTTTTAGCTACGCATGCTAGCATTCCATTTAAGTTGTTTGGTTTGAATGGTATTTGGATTAGGATTAAACAGATTTGAGCTTGTTCTCATCTCATCATCGTGAAGTTCAAAGGATGTCCGTGTGGAGAGAGAGTTGTTTGTCGCTAAACACATTGTGCGCAAATCCCAGAGCAAATCCCAGGCGTGCTGTTGTTTGCATCAAAATGGAATTGCATGTGGTATGCGGCATGTGGAACTGCATTGACAGCATTTTACAGGTGCAGGTCAGCGCCACTGGGGCAAGTGGGCGTGGGCTCGGGCCATTTTAGTGGCATGTTTCTGCTAATTTATTACGCCTGCGAAGCATAATGGATGCCAACGCCATTGCCTTATACCAATGGGACAAACTCGGTGCACATTACAAAGCGACAAACCGACAAACAGACAGCCAAACTGACAGACAAACAAACAGACATTCAGACAGGTGAATAGCTGAATTGTCGACCAGTCAGCGGGGAGTGGAAATGCCACCTCAGAGGTAGTTGGCTGGCTGACTACTGCAGTTGTTGTTGTTATTGCTGCTGCAACTGAAAATGAATGTCTAATTAATTAAAGTGCGAATTGCACAAGGGTCGCTTGCTTGTTTTGGCAGCTGCATTAATTGCCAGCAAACCAACAGTAAACATATCTACATATCTACACTCAGAAAATAAGTATACACACTATTCTACATATTGATATAGAACCTGTATTCGACTTTGTGGGGCTTATGTAGGGATACAGAAAAGTTTATTGTGTTTAAAAACAAAATAATAATAAAATATGTAATCCACTTGAGTTCTTTATAATTCTAGTTGTATACAGCTAGTGCTGTTTATTTTATGATTAATTGATATATTATTTATATGTACAAATGTATTATAGTTAATGTTAATAAATAAAAACAGAGTTCCGAGCAGCTCTTTATTTGCACAGTGCATCTGCCCTGACCTAACCCGACTGTTTGATTTATTAAACTCACCGCACTGCATGCTACGCTTCTAATGTTGCACTTGTTGTTATTGCAGTGCAATTTCCTATGCACACATCAAATGCAATTTTATGCGACACAAAATTTGTAACCCGAAAATATTATCATTGGGTTGCTTTCAGTCTCTATGGTGACGTGGATGGGGGTGGCTGGGATGTTGTACAAAGCTTAGCGCCACATAAATAATAAATTCGTAACATTGCATTTTACGGACATATGTCCGTGTGTATGTATGTGTGTGTCTCTATGTTTGTGTGCGGTGTGACATTAACAATTTATCAGTGAATCGAAAAAGCAACAAGCCAATAAAAATCACTCCGTTTGACCGGCTACATTTGCTGGTGCTCCCTGCACACCATATTCTCATTCCCATTCCCATTTCATTCTCATTCCCTGGCCCTCGCTCTTCTTCCTGGTCTGTTCATCCGTTGTCCTTCTTCTATATAGTCGGCATCGTTTTGCGCTCGTCGCCCATAACAAATGTCAAATGGCATTGCAATATTGATGTTAGAATACATGGTCCGATTGTATTTGTGTATGTTTGTCCGCCATTTAGTGTTGTCCAGTTGAATACACTGTAAAAAATCATGCAAGGAAGTCAAACTTGATTTTAGGCCGACTATTTTCATGGAAACTCTTTGAAATGGTAGCTTGATGCTGATACTTGTTTGCCTAAATGAAAGCCACATGTTGTTGGTGAGTTTGGCTAAGATACAAAAGGTTTATGCACTAACTATTTCAGTTTGCGTCTGATTGCTTTGATTTTATAATTACAAGAATAGTATTTAAAATAATTTGTAAATTACACAATTTCTTTGTAAAATCATCGTTAACAATCGGGATGATCCAATATCCTAATATCCATCAAGGCGTCAAGCGGGCAGTTGAAACACCAACCAACATTTCATATTCTAGTCTTATTTCTGATACTTAGCTAAAAAGCTCGTCACCAACTAAGTAGCACAGACTTCAACCACAAATTCAGCTGTGCTAACCAGTTCGCTCTCATAATCTACAAGAGCGAACAAGCATGTAACTATCTATTTATGTTTTTGCATGGCGCGCTTTTAAATCAGCCTCTTAAACTGAACAATTTAAAATAACATCTAAATATTATATATATATCATATATAATCAGTAATATTTGATAATAAGTACATTTTAATTTAAAGAAATATTTACTTAAATAAGTACGGCATATATCTAAGAAAATAATGCTTAAGAAAACACAAAGCTTGCTTTAAACTTCTAGAAACTAGTTTCTTTCATTTAGAAAAAATGTGTATAAAATCAAATCTAGAAAGTATTGTGCTTACTTTAAGTAATAATTATTATTTTTCAACGTGGTGGTTTCCATATTAAATATTTTTATAAATATTAAAATACCATCAACTCCGCCAAATCTTGGGACAACTGAGTTCTTTGGGATTTGCACAATTTGTCTTAGCAAAGACAACAACCAATCGACTGCCACAAAGCTGTTTGCCCACGCTAAAGCTCAAGCACCACTGCTGCCGCTCAACAAGCAGCTTAAAATGCGGCTAATGCTAAAGTCTGGCTAAAACAAAATAATCAGTTGAGTGCGAGCTTACGAACGAACAACAGCGCGAACGGAAAACAGGTGGAAGTGCTTCCCGAATCGAAAGTGAAACAAAAAACGTGAGCTACAAAAGGCCGTCTGTTTTGGAAGTTGTCGCAATCGCGAATCTCGAACGGTGCTGCTGCTGCGGCTGGTGGTGGTGCTGGTTTGAACAAGTGAAGCAACAACAGCAAACAAGCCAAATCAAGCTTTAAGCCAAGTTAACTGACGGCGAGTGCAGTGAGCGGTGTGGTCAAACACACGCGAGAGCAAAAATTGTCGACTGCCCACACGACAAGAAACAAAAACCCGAAAAAAGCCAGTCAACGATATACGAAATGAATATATATATTTAAAATTCGTATATAATGTGTGCTTGCAATATATAACATAAAGTTGATCAAGCTAATTAAGAAACGTATTTAGAAATAATTAAAACAAATACAAAATGTTAAAAATGTGTAATTTTGTGCTTGCAATCATAAGTTGTTTACTTTTGCTGGTGCCAGCGTTAACAGCTGCTCAGGGGTTAGTAAATTCTACAATACAACAATCATTTACACGCATATATATGAATAACGACTCCCACACTCATAATGTATGGATAGCTGACAATGAATGTGTGACAAATTCAGGTGACGAGTTGCGCACACAATCTTATACAAATAACAAACATTGGAAATGACATCACGCCACTTAACTGAGACGAAATCCCAAAAACATAAAATAAAAAAAAAATAATACAAAAAAACAAAAGACTTAAGCAACGAACCGCATTTCTTTGAGTTATTGTGTGTGAACACGCAGCCCAAAAAATTGACAACCGGCTGCTGAGCAACTCATTATCCATCCTATCCATGTGCCATATAATTTACAAGTTGTAATCAAACGAAATTAGCATAAAATAAATTGAGCACGAAGCATCCCCAGGGGATTTGTTTGATGTTTTATATGCAATCAGATATTGGCATGACATTAACACTACAGACCAAAGATTTTAGTATGGATTAGGACAACAAAACATATTGTTTGACGTAAATTAAAAAAGAATCACTTAAATATAATATGGTTTTATATCAAGAGACTTTAGTAAGCTGTACTTTGAGATGTTATGCGTTTGCTGAGCAGAGTATATACTATTCGTCGGTGACTTTTAGCCAATAATACACATGCCATCTAAAGAGACGCGTTTCAACTGGCTGACTCATCTGTTATTATTGATCAAGAACAAATATACTCTATTAAACTCGTTTAACTCATTATACTCTAGGTGAAGGAAACCTTTTGGAGATATCTTAATGATTCTCATTTAGTCAACAACAGTTTTAAGTTGAATTTGTGCTGCATTTTACTATAAATTAAAGATTTTGTGTTTTAAGTTATTCGCGTTCATATTAATTGGCTATTCAATTTGTATATTTGATAGAGTATTTTATCTTCTTAATGCAATGTACAGGTATTCTTGCCGGTTAGATATAAAACAGCTATAAGACAAAAATAAACTCAAGCTGAGATTGGCGAGATTTTCGTCGACCTACGCAAATATTAATTTCATTGGTCTTAATTCGCCAGGGTGATGCAATATGCCTTATAAGCAAATGCCTTTTAGAGGATTCATATATTGAGTGTGTTTTTTGAGTTAGCTAACAAATTACATATATCCATTAACATTTCATATGCGCTTAAGCGGTGTGATTGCGAGCCACCCTAATGCTAGGTGACACATTGAATAATACACTTATTTACTGCTTGACTTCCGATGGCTAACCTTGAGTGTCTGTCAGTCAAGCTGACCAGTTGAATGAATGAATGTACAAATGTATTCGAGTGATTTTAGATTCGTAGAATTCTGATTGATTGATTTTGTTAAGAAGTAACGTTGGCGTTTGCTGAATTTTTTGCTACTACTCTCTCTCTGTCTCCCACTCTCCTTGATCGGTACATATATGGCTTAGGGTTCAGCTGTTGTCCAACACTTGCAAGTTGAATTCTCTTGCCATATAAGGTGCAGCTCAAGGCAATATTATGAATATATTTATTTATTTGCTTGTACATTCCATTAAATTAAGTTGATATCAACTGCTTAAAGCCGACATTTAACGCGACGCTTAACACGATGCAATCATGTGAAACCCCTGTATGTATATCTCTCTCTTTCTGTCTCTCTGTCTATCTATCTATCTCAGTCACTGCATTTTGTGGCGAATTTAAAGAAAAAAAGCGAAATTGTTTAATTTTTTTCTGCCATTTTGGCTAAGTGAACTCTGGGAACCTGTTTGTCCGCCTAACAAATCGTGACATAAACACAAAAAGAAAATGTGGGAACAGGTTAAGCGGTGGCAGCAATTGAAATTAGAACAACTAAGCAAACGGTGAATTACGCCAAAATGCCAGACAAAACAGACAAAAACAGGCAGACCCACAGACAGAGAGAGAGAAGTACGAACACGACACAGTTAACCAGTCTATAAATTGTACAATCAAAGCAGAGAAATAATAATATAAAAAAATCAGAGGTGTATAAAACGAATAGCCCGCATCGTTGGTCGGTCGCAACTTACCTTAAATGCCCAACAAGTTAACTGGAAAGCAGCAACAAAATTTGATTCCCTCAAAGCCCAAAAACGAACAGTTGAGTTGCGCTCGAAAATCGTTAAAGCGAACTTGTTTAAATTATGCAAGTCGTGCACCGAATTTGGCATTTTCTATCAATAAACATTTTATAATGTTTGATGAAAAAGTTGTGAAACCTTTCTCCATCCAAAAACCAACTGCATTTTGTGGCCAATTTGTTTGCTGAAATTATTACAAATTTTGCCAAGTATTTAGTTCCAGAGTTTTGACGTATGCTTAAAGAGAATACCTTAAACGTATTAACAAACTTTACCTTTTTCTGACTAACTATTATTTAACTTTTCAAACGCTATGATTATGAATAAAATTATATAATTTAAATATTATTGAAATGAGATGTTTAACTGAACAACTCATTTTTGTGCTCGTATTCTGCGCTCCCTACTGTGTTGTATATTTACTTAATCTTATGCTTATTCAAAGCTTCTCAGCATTGTAGTCACTCAATTCAAAATTGTTACTTAAATATTATTAGTCATTATTGACTCCAAACATGTTTATATATATTTAAGAATCACATCTTAATCCATTTGATTAATACAGCAAAAAATTACTAGACTCATCATTAAATTTATTATTCAATTATTTTAATCAAATAATTACCTCAGCTTACAATGTAAAAGTTTGAACTTAATTAAACACAACTTTTTGAGGTAGCTCGTATTTAACTTAAGTGTCAGAAGCTTGACTCATCCAACCGGCAGCAGCAATTGTTGTTATATCAAATGAGGAATACTTCACGCCAAAGTCGATTTTGTAGGTTGTAGTAGTAGTTGTAGGAAAACCACAAAAAATAGTTATTGTCGCAGCCGCAACAGCGCCTCCAAATGCCATTTCCGACATGAATCAAAACCGAAACCGAAACGCGGTCTCTCAAAGACGCTGACCCGAACTCGCACTCGCACTCGAACTCGAACTCAAGCAATAGTACATTACCCCATGGTATTGTTTAAGTACACATCTTCCGTTAAGCGCGTTGAATGAATAGAAAAACGAAAACAACCGAAAGAGCAACAGATTCAGATGCCATGCCAGCAAAGACTATATAGTATAGGTGTAATACGCTTTGCGGAACATTGTCTTTATTTATTTCATCTGCTGCATTAAGTTGAAAACGATTTATGTTACTCTTTGTTTCGTTTTGTTTTTGTTTCTATTTTTTTTATACTTTTTTTTTTTTTTTGGTTTTTCTAGCCTCTATACCATAATTGCGCCGAATACAGTGAGACCCAACTCGCAGTACCATGTGGCAGTGAGCATACACAAGGCAGCGGAGCCCGCCAGAGTTAAAGTTGGCATTTTGAGCAGTACGTATACGGATTTCAAGACCGTCGAATTGAGGCCCTATTCAACGCAGCTGCTGCACTTTGAGGTGAACTTTTGCATCAATCCATAATTGAGTCATTACTTTGAACTACTCTAACCTTCCCACAGTTGCCAGCGCTAAAAGCTGATCGTTATCGTCTGACAGCGGAGGGCTTGAGCGGCATTATCTTCACCAATGAGACCCAATTGCACTTTGAGGCCAAACAGCACACGGTGCTGGTGCAAACCGACAAGAGTATCTATAAGCCAGGTGATCTGATGCATTATCGTATTTTACTGCTCGATGCGAATCTGAAACCCGCTCGCGGTTATGGTCGTGTCAATGTGGAGATCCGTGATTCAGGAAATAATCTCATTAGAAGCTATAAGGATATACGCCTAACGAATGCCATCTACTCCAATGAGCTGCAGTTGTCCGATTATCCACGCTTTGGTGACTGGTCCATAATTGTCGATGTGGCCGAGCAGCAGCACAAGCAAAACTTTGAGATATTGGATCACATATTGCCAAAGTTTGTGGTGGATATTGATACGCCGCGAAAGGCCATCTACAAGGATGGCAAGATTGCAGCTACTATAAAAGCGCAGTGAGTGCTAACTGACATTGAAACAAAATACCAGCTTTAGCGTCAGGAAATCTTGTTGATTGAATAATTTATGACTTTTCAAAGATTAAAACAAAAAAACCTTTCACTAATGTTGTTAATGTTGAGCAAGCAAAAACCAGAAACAAAGTATAAAAAAAACGCAACACAGTTTTTTTATTCAGTGCTAATAGAAAACCTGTTGCAAATTCTGCTTAAAGCATTCAATATAAATAAGCTATATAAAAGCAGAATTGGCAATACTAATGCTAATAGTCTTCAGCTGGGAGTAATGTTCTAACTTTTCTTCACACAGCTATGCCTTTGGTCAGCCCATTGTGGGCGAGGCAACTCTCTCAATTTACCCGACTTTCTTTGGCTCGCTGCAGCCATTTGTCAATGATTTGATCACCAGGAAAGTGGTGCCCATCGATGGTAGCGCCTATTTTGAGTTTGACATTGAGCAGGAGCTGCGACTGAAACAGGACTATGAGCGACAGTATCTGTTGGATGCATTGGTTGAGGAGCGCTCCACAGGATCGGTGCAAAACTATTCCACGGTGCTTACCCTATATTTAAATCACTTTCGCATAGAGACTGTCAAGCTGCCCAGCTATTACATACCAGGCGTGCCTTTTGAGGCCACGGTAAGTAGCCAGCTATATTTATTAAAATTATAATTTAATAATATACTTCGATCTGTACATATAGGCACGCATTGCTCGGAACGATGGTACTCCGTTGAGGGATTTCAATCCGGAGATCACCGCCTATTTGACAAATGTTTATGGCAGCAGTGAAATGTATAATCGAACCGTATACAGACTGGATTCACGTGGCGAGATCAAGATGAAGTTCACTGTGCCAATTGGGGATCGCGATGAGTTTCATTCCATTATTGTTGACTATTTGGGTGTTATTAGCGAAGTAGGCAAAGTGCCGAGAAAAAATTTGCACACCAAGAATTACATAACAGCCAAGGTGCTAAATGACAAGTAAGTGACATTAAAATAATGAGCTCATTCAAAAGATAATTTTAATCTAAACTTATAGAGCTGCTACGATGAGTAAAACAAAATTATTTGAGAATTTAAAGAGCCCACATTCTATCAAAACAGAACCCAGTCTTAAAATCAATTCTTGTTTGATTATGGTTTCACATCTAAATAAAACTCTATTTAAGATTCGAACATAAAAATTAATCAGAATTATGTTTATATTACAGGCCCATGGTTAACCAGGAAATTGCTATTGCTGTGCGTTCCAATGAGCCCATGAAATACTTTATGTATCAGATTGTGGGACGTGGTGACATTATACTATCGCGCACTGTGGATGTGAGTAAAGAAACGCTCTTGACCCTATTTGAATTATTATAATTGTTTCATCCATATTTAGGTGGCCGATAATAATTATCATACCATCAAGGTTTTGGCTTCATTTGCGATGATGCCACGCGCCAAGTTGCTCGTTTATATGGTTGTCAATGGTGAATTCGTGTACGATGAGCAGATCATACAATTCGAGGAGAATCTCTTGAATGCTGTGAGTGAAACTATATAACTTAATAAGCGTCTAATTTGACTAATATTCAAACTCTTCCTTCAGGTGCAAATTGAGGCGCCGATTAAAGCACCACCCGGCCAAGATATAGACATAAGTATCAGCACTAAGCCCTACTCCTATGTGGGACTCATGGTTGTCGATCAAAATGCGGCATCGCTACGAAGCGGTAAGCTGAACTAAACAACACTCTTATCCAATGATCTAACTTGTGTAATCTTTTCCAGGCCATGATCTAACACACGATCGTTTGATGGATGCCCTCTATGCCTATGAGCTCAGTGACGTGAATACGCCCGTGGGTTCGCCCGGCAAAGAATCTGGAGTTATAACCATGTCCAATACGGATTACATTGTGGAGAAGGGTAAACCAAACACTTGAATTGTTTGAGTTGATTATATTAATAATAATTGTAACTTGTACAGAGGCAGAGACGACACCATCGATAGGACGCGATAGCGCCACCACCATGGAAGAGGATAAATTAACAGCTGTGCGGAAAACCGATATTGGACCTGCGCACAAGATCGAGGTGAATACACTGCCACCCGGCAAGGGACGCTATGCATTCTCGTATACCCCGAAACCCTATTGGCATAATCCGAGAGTGCATGTCATGCGTGATCCGGCTGAGACTTGGCTCTTCCTCAACATCTCGGCGAGCAGCGATGGTCGCAATACGATACATCGACGCATACCCAGCGACATGACCTCGTGGCTCTTGACTGCCTTCACTTTGGACCCAGTCAATGGCTTGGGCTTGAATGCGCCCAGCAGCAAACTGGAGGCTTACAAGGAGTTCTACATAGCCACAGATCTACCCTACACCATACGCAAGGGTATATTTGAATTAAATTAATATAGATTTGTGCAATTAATCCTGTTCTTCTTTTTCCCCAGATGAGCTCATTGCTCTGCCTTTTGTGGTGCATAATAATCGGGATAGTGATCTAAGCGTTGATGTGACCTTCTATAATACGGCACAGGACTTTGATTTTCCAGAACTGGACATCAAGCAGCTAACTAAGCCCAGTACGTTAAGTCTGGATTAAAGAATAGTGTGTCTTACCTAATGTCTATACATTTGCAGAACTGGAACTCTACAGTCGTCGCACCATTCAAGTGCCAGGCAAGTCGGCACGCACCGTCTCGTTCATTGTGACACCAAGACGTGTGGGTGCACTTCCCGTTAAAGCAGTGGCAGCCACTTCTCAAGCTGGCGACTCTGTGGAACGCACTCTGATGGTCGAGCATTCCGGTGCCACGGAGCGTGTTAATCGTGGCTTCCTCTTCGAGTTGAACTCGAATGCGCAGAGAAAACAAAATGTTACCATTAAAGTACCACGGAATGCGATACCCGACTCGACGAGCATTGAAGTTAGTGCTGTGGGTGATCTGATGGGCAGCATTGTGGGCAATCTCCAGCAGCTCATCCGTTTGCCCACTGGCTGCGGCGAACAGACCATGGTCAACTTTGTGCCCAATCTAATGGTGCTGCGTTACTTGGGTGTAAGTTTTACATAAACAATATGGCCATTATATATGGCATATAAAGCCATGTCATATAAATTGCATACTTTCAAAACGTTAACTCTTTGCAGCGCCTGCGTCAGCTGACTCCAGATGTGGAAATGACTGCAACCAAGAATTTGGCGGTGGGCTATCAGCGGTTGCTCTACTATCGTCATGAGAATGGTGCTTTCAGTGCCTTTGGACTGTCTATTAAGCAAAGCTCCACATGGTTAACTGCCTATGTGGCCAGATCCCTAAAGCAGGCAACGCCCTACATTCAAGTAGATGAGCATGTGCTGCAAACCGCTTTGGCCTACTTGGCCAGCGTGCAGTCTGGAAATGGTGGCTACGAGGAGAATGGCGATATTTTCGAGCAGTTCGATGATGGTGGCATAAGTTTGACTGCATTTGTTACCTTGGCCATGTTGGAGAATGTGGTAAGATAATTGCCGACAATCTGTTGAGCAAATACTAAATTGCATCGCGCTTACAGGAAGCTCATGCCGAGTATCGGAATAATATTAATAAGGCGCTGGATTTCATCGCCCGTGGCTTGGACACATCGAGCAATCTGCATGCCATGGCCATAGGCACCTATGTGCTCTCACGTGCCAATCATAATGCCAAGGCTGCTTTCCTGCAGCGTCTGGATTCAATGGCCACCAATGCCGATGGACGCAAATGGTGGAATAAGACGGCTCCAGCGACGGAGCAACAATCTCCTTGGTATAATACCACACGTAGTGTCAACATTGAGATCTCTGCCTATGCAGCTCTCACTCTGCTGGAAAACAATCTCGTGGGCGATGCTTTGCCAGTGCTGAACTGGCTAATGGATCAGCGGAATGTATTCGGTGGTTTTGTTGCCTCACAGGACACTGTTGTAGGTCTACAGGCATTGCTCATGTTTGCCGAACGCTTCTCCAGTCAGGGAAATAATGTGCAGATAGGTTTTCATTATGGCGAGGGTGCTGAGACCATACTTAATGTCAACTCGGAGAACTCACTGGCTCTGCAAAGTGTTGAGGTAAACTATTTTAATTTGGAATCGAGCAAGATGAAGTTTGACTCATGAAATCTTCAATCTTTCTTTTGTTTAGCTGCCCAGCAATATTAAGAACGTGAGTGTTTCGGCTACTGGACGCGGTTTGGCACTGGCCCAGGTGAGCTACAGATACAATACGAATGTGACAAGTGCCTGGCCCCGATTTGTGCTCGATCCAACCGTGAATCGGAATTCGCATGCGGATTATCTGCATTTATCGGCCTGCGCCAGTTTTGTATCTGTGCCGGGCGATGCCGAACGCTCCAATATGGCTGTGATGGAAGTGTATCTGCCGAGTGGCTTTGTCGTCGACACGGATACACTGCCCACGCTGGAGTCGAGTGAGCGCATCAAAAAGGTGGAGACACAGCAGCGCGACACCAAAGTCATCATCTACTTTGATTACTTGGACAGGCGGGAAGTGTGCCCCACGTTGCATGCATACAAAACGGTGAAGGTGACAAAGCATCGACCAGTGCCAGTTGTGATGTATGATTACTATGATAACGGTAGGTTCACCTTTAGATTTTTAAGCTCTCAGTTTATATTTAATATTTAATCTATTACTACTCTATATAATATTAAACTTGTCGACTTTCAGCTCGTCGCGCCAGACAGTTTTATCGGGCGCCCAAATCGAATATTTGCGATCTTTGCGAGCATGCAAATTGTGGCGACTTCTGTGAGAAGGCCGAGAAACGTGAGTCCCGTCGCCCAGATGACTATACGGCCATAGCAGGTCGTAATTCAGCTAACAACCAGGCAACAATAGCAATGCTATTGATGGCCATAGCTATTTTATTACAATTGCACTGTTAGAAAGAAGAAAACGGAGGTGTTCCAATCAAGTGGAGCCGACGACATCAACGGAAGCTTTAACAAAAAACCACTCATCTAATTAATAAGTTAGATTTAGGATAAACCGTGAACTAAACCCAACTAATTTTAACGATGCTAAAAGTTGCCAATAATAAAAACAGTTAACAATCATTAAAAGACGTCAACGAAAACTGTGTTGTGGCATTATAAAATATACATTCTGTTTTAATTTTATTTTTATTAAAACAAAAAGAGAGAACAATTTATAAATAATTTGTGATCAACGAACAAAATGAATGCAATAGTTTGGCCTAGCAGGCCTAATAATATAGGTCAAACAATATGCCATTACAAAATATTTGTAACCTCTTGTTATAATTTCTCTGTGCTCCGATATATTTAGGGCCTTTAGCAAATCGCTTAAATAGGAGACAACAGTGGAGCATTTGTTAATAAGTTCCAAAATAAAATTTGCAGTTGTAAAATTTAATCAACTGGAATGAAACAAGAAAAGGATGATCAGAAAGCGCCATCGCCAAATCGAAGAGTGAAGACTATTAAACGTGATGAGAATCGCGGCAAATGGTCATCGAAAACCGAATTTATACTCACGTTAATGGGCTATGCGATTGGCATTGGTAATGTCTGGCGTTTCCCCTACCTCTGCTACCGCAGCGGGGGAGGTAAGTTAAGCTGCGCCCTGAACTGAACGACTGAACAGCTGAACAGCTAAACAACTGAACAACCGAACAATTGAACGTTGTGCTCAGGTCCAGTAATTGATGAGTGGGCAATTTTCATTTTTTCAATGAGTTCTTTGCTCACAATCCACTCGAACAATTCGCTTGGGTCGCGAGTCGCGAGTTTCGCGTGCTCAAAAGTAGCGCATGCCCCGAGTGCAGTGTCTATTTTAAGCTCAACATTCAATTATGATAGCTTTCGAGTGAAAGCTGGCACGTTGCTGTGGCATGTTGTCTGTGTGCGTCTGTGGCGTTTATTGGAACTTTGTCATCGGGCAGCGAATGCCTTCGATAGCTCAGTTGGTAGAGCGATGGACTGTAGAGTTTTCTCGAGGCTTGGTGTTGCGAGCATTAGCAGGATACTAGACCAGCAAAACCCGGCCTAGATATAACGCCTGCTCTTGTCCCATCAGTTCATTGAATCGCGATATGTTGAAATCCATAGGTCGCTGGTTCAAATCCGGCTCGAAGGATCCTACATTTTTACGTTTTCTAAATTTTTCATGTTTTTTCTTGCATTTCTTTAGTTTAACCCAGTGGATTTCGATTCCAATAATGAAACTGCATTATCTGTTTTTTTATTTAGATTTTGTTTACATATTAAAATTAAAATTCGCTTGCTTAAGTAATTTTTCAAGTATTCCTTTTTATTACATTTCTTGAGGTGAGTTGTATAAATTTTATTTGATTTTTGAGCAGATGAATTTCGTTTATACTCCTCTAGAGTAATTTCTTTCCAATCAAATCCCAATGTTTTAGAAGTACCTTTTCCCCAATTATCACCTGTAACTGCAGATTATTACAGAGTAGGCTATATCCGATTCCTTATTTGCTCGTCTATTTATTCTTAATTTTAGGTGCATTCCTGGTACCATATATGCTGATGGTAATATTATGCGGTATTCCACTATTCTATATGGAGATAATGATTGGCCAATTCTCAGGCACTGGCTGTACTGGCATGTTTCGATTGGTCCCCATATTGAAGGGCACTGGCATTTGTATGGTTATTGTGAACATGTACTGTGTTTGCTACTATTCCGTTCTCTTATCATATCCAGTACGCATGATATATTACTGCTTCTGGAAAACGGTGCCTTGGATAGACTGCGATCATCCATGGAATACACCCAACTGCACAAGTCTTGATAAGGTTGAGTTGATCTACCATAAATAACTAAATATATATTTTAAGATAATTCTTTAAATTCAGGTGCAAAATGATTATGAGGGTCGTTTCACCACATCGGCAGATGAATTCTTTCAGTAAGTCAAACCCAAAGTAGCGAAACAGCATCTTATTGTTTTCACATTGTATCACAGCCTGGAAGTTTTGCGAATCTCGGAGAGCATTAACCATCTGGGTGGCATGGTGTGGGAGCAGCTACTCAGTCTGTCAATTTCTTGGATCATCATTTGCTTGTGTGTGCTAAAGGGCGTTAAGTCGGTAAGATCTACTTTAAATATCATATTGAAGTATAAAAATAAAAGAGTGTTACAGACTAAAAACCAACAGATACAAGCTGATAGCCGAAACAATATTCATTGTTTTAGCTACATATATACGATTTATATATATATATTTTGTCTAATAGGTGGGAAAGGTGGCTTACTTTACGGCATTGTTTCCCTATGTGCTGCTAACCATACTCTTTGTTCGAGGCGTTACCCTGCCCGGTGCGGCAACTGGCATTAAATTTTTCCTTTATCCCGAGTGGCATCGTCTGCTTGACTTGAAGGTCTGGGCAGATGCGGCAATACAGATGTTTTTTGGCCTGGGCCCCGGATGGGGCGGCATTGTTAATATGGCCAGCTTTAATAGTTTTCGCAACAATGCCAAATTTGACTCGATTTTGGTAGTGTCGATCAATGTGTTTACAAGCATATATGCGGGCATTGTGGTCTTCTCCGTACTGGGTTTTCTGTCTTGTAAGTCCTTCAAAACACATGCATACATAAGTCGATAATTAATTTGGGCTTTTTCATAGTCAAGTCGGGCATACCCGTTGCAACAGTGGCCACATCTGGTGCGGGTCTGGCTTTCGTTACTTACCCGGAAGCAATTGCGTTGCTGCCTGTGCCGCAGTTGTGGGCCTTAATGTTCTTTATAATGCTCTTCCTGTTGGGTATTGACAGTGTGGTGGGTATGCGACGTGTCTATTACCAAATTTCGAACAGTTTATCGATAAATGTTAAAAATTATGCTCTGCTTCCTTCACTTTATATCCTCTTATAAAGTGAACTTTCAACTGGAGTCCTAGTTGTTTGTCTTCATTACTCAATAATTTGAAACGCTTATTTTAATTGAAGGACACAAAATTCTGTGTATCTTGTTAATACAGCTAATAGCTTCTAACTGCACTTTAATTACCAGCTTTAATTTATAGTTTGTGCAATTGGAAGCCATTTGTTCGTCGCTGCTGGATGAGGTTGTATATTTGCGCAAACACAAAATGATGGTGATTATCAGTTTGTGCTCAATCTTCTTCTGTGCAGCTACCATTATGTGCACTAATGTAAGTACTTAATTGGAAATCGATTTAAATCGAAGTCATTCATAATACCTTCCCTAGGCTGGCATGTACATATTGCAATTATTCGATTGGTACTCATCGGCAATAGCGATTATAGTTATCTGTTTGATTGAGACCATTATGGTATCGTATATCTACGGTATTGATAATTTCATGAGCGACGTTGAGTTCATGTTGTATGAGCGACCAGCTATCTATTGGAAGATTGCTTGGAAGTATATATCGCCAGTGGTGCTGACTGTAAGACACCTAATCAATTGATTTTATTATCGAATACTTTTTAAGTCGATCTTATATTCAATAGTTTATATTATTCACAAGCATTATATTCATGCGTACCATTACCTACAATGACGTAAAGTATCCGTATTGGGCCGTCCTCCTTGGTTGGTTTAGTTTTGTGTCCTCGGTTATGTTTATACCCATATACGTATTTTACATTATGATCCGCAAGCGAGAAACGATGTGCGATAGCCTAAAGAAACGTTTGAAGCCCTTAGATTGGACACCAGCCGATCCAGAAGATCGAGCAGATTATATCGAATATAGAAAACAGCGTAGTATGCCAGCACTTATGTCCGAAACAGAAGCCGAACCAGAAGGGTTGAAATAAAATATTTTTAAAACTGAATCACTTTTGTATACCATGTTCGTATTCTCGAGAAGTGACTCATAAGAGAATGATTTTGATAAATTAATCGAGTCCTTGTGTTTTTTAATAAAAATAACCAGACTGTTGAGTTCAAGTGCTTTATTTAGACAGAATTTGTAAACTCTAACTTAACATAATTAAACCTCGGACTGCTAATTCTGCTTACGTCTTATCGTTGTCGCGACAAAGCTGCATTGGTGGAGGTGTCAGTTGTCCCGGTTGGGTCCCACGATGGTTCTCTAGTGGAAGGTGCTGACGGGGCGCACGTGTTGTGTGATATTTATTCTAGTTTGTTAGTTTGAGTTATTTGTAATAATATATATTAACTGATATATAGCTATAAATAAAGTTGTTACGAAATTTTATTTTTAAAATTTTTTTTTAATTTAATCTCTTATATACAGACATTATATACATACATACCATTGCAAAATTCTTAATATAATTTTTACACATTTTTTATGGGTTCAAGGTATAGTACAAATTAAAAGTGTTGGACAGATTAGTTTACTTCCTCGGTGACTTCATATAATTGATGAGTAATATCTGCATTGCCCACAACCTCCTCATATTTCTGGCGATCTTCCATTTCTACGGGATACCAGTCGTTTGGTCGACAGGCACGCCTGAAGCGATTACAAAATCCGCCAGTATTCTTGCACATAATATACACGCCATAACCTGGAATACACAATACAGGCAGCAGTACGAACAGACTTATATAAATCGCCATGGAGAAGAGTAAATGTTCAAATGAGGAAACTATGATGCTTATTAGCTGAAAGCAATTACATACATATTACTATGGATACTTCATATATTAATTATATACTCACTAGCGAGTTCAACAGAAATAGTGGCGCTATGAAACGCAGTATAAAAACCTTCCATGAGGCAAACGGCTGTCCAAGCATGAACTCAATGTCCCGCTGGAATCGCTCCCGTCCGTAGACCCAAAGTACAGCCAGAAGGAGAAGCAAATGCATAACACTATGCGAGATAAGCGAATCCGCGGATAATGCAGTTAAATGCCGAACGCCGTGCTGGCAAAGAAAATAGATATACAATTATACATTATCAAAATATATCGGACAGAATTCAATACACAAATTAATATAACTTAATGGATTTGATATTTGTTTAGTGAAAAATAATTTAGAGTATAGGAATGTGAAAACAATGGATATTATCTAAAGATAAATTCCAAAACCTCTGATTAGACTTACGTTCGAGCAAAGTAATACCGAAAAGACAGATAATAAGCCCAACACTCCATAAATAACCTTCTTCTTATACATCCTCAATACCTCGAACTCATCGAAGAGACTCGTAAATACCGTGAACAGTTGCGTGATCTGTTAAATATGTTAATTATTAAAAACAGAAATATATATATATATATATATATATATATATGTACAACCAACCATGACAATCAAAGAAGCCATCAGCATCATGGTAAAGTAGATAATGGTCCACATATTGGGCCATTCCAGTGTAGACAAAGCACTGGCACCCGATAAATATGAAACCCAGTTTTTGAGTACATATGAACTGAAATCTTTTGGCTCAATGGCTTAAAATTATATAGACAAAATAAATGTATATATTAACTATTATACAATTATTTGCAATACTGCAACTTACTTTTAAAATAATTATCCAACATATAGGTGACCATTCCGAACAAAATGTAGACGAGTGTCTGTCCAAACGCAATGATCCAGTTATACTTCATAACGTTTGTCTTGAAATTGTTAAAGCTGGATAAAGCTATAACCGTGCCCCAACCAGAACCAAAAGCCTGCAGGACAATAATAAGCATGGCGCGGGTACCGTTTACCATAGAATCCGCACGGGGTTTTACAAAGTGCGTGAGTCCATCCCAGGCACCAGGTAGAAACAGAAAGCGAATGAAGCACACCACCAAAAGCACCAATGTGGAGACGACCATGTAGCGAACTAATTTACCAAACTGCAATTAATAAAAAGCTCTACGGGAATTAAAAATATTCAGGCACGAACTGTTCTTGAAAACGGTTGGAATTCTATTCCGTTTGTATTTGAATTTAAACTACGGTAGCTAAAAATTACCTTAGCTGTTTCCGAGAAATTATAAAAAATGAAGGTAATTAAAGCCCATATGGCAAAGGAGAAACCCACAATATGCCAAGATAATATGTAACTCTCATCCACCGGTTGACTCGTTACCTCATAGTATTTTCTGTAGTTAGAAGTAGTTATTAATTGAAAGACAATATATACATATACATACTTAAAGAATATCACTGAAGGCGCACGCACGATAGTCATTTCGAAGGTTTCCCATTTATTCCTACTGTCTAGAAGTGTGTGTACTTGTGTATTCGTCATATTACAGATCTATAAATCAAAAACATATATTAGACATATTCAGTACTAATACTCATAACAACACAACAACTCAACAGTTGATTCATTGGACCAAGAACTAATTCCCTCGCAGCTCCAAGGCAGAGTTGGACGTAGGGAATGCATTATGAATATAAGTGGGACGAAGGCAAAAAGGCTATAATAGAGCAGAGTTGCAAGGCTCAATGCAAGACTCACATATCCCATGCCTGGAAGAAATGAATATATGTCAACCTTATCCACATATTTGTACATTCAGATATTACCTTTAAAAAACGGCGACACTCGAAAAGCAGAGATGAAACCACTGCTCGAGAATTGACCCATAAATGAATGTATTACCAGTATAGGGACCAGATACAAAGCCATATAGATATAGTAAGGTAAAATGCCAAACACTATAGTGACGCAAAATCAATTTCAAATAGGTATAATAATAATAATAATAATAATAATAATAATAATAATAATAATAATAATAATAATAATAATAATAATAATAATAATAATAATAATAATAATACAATAATTTAAAATCATTTATTTCTTTTTAGAGTTGTGAATTGATTTGGAATAATAAAACATTACTTAATGTTTCCTTTCTTTAGTGATTTTTCTTCATAGTTAGTTTTAGTAGTAATGTCACCACGATTTATTTAAAATTAAATAACGATAGGCGTACAAGGTATCTCCAAGATTGGTGAAACCTAATAGCTTCACTTGTAATTTCCAACCATTAAATTAACAGAACTGCCCTCGTCTTTGTATAAAGATGCATTCATTTATTATTTTGAATACTAGATTGATAAGCTTATCAGATATTTTTAATTTAAAATTTTCTTTTTTTTTGTATTTCATTGGAAATTGATATTTCACATAAATATACTTACAGCCCATATCGAAAAAAAACCAATACGAAACGACAAATGAATCCAATTTTAGTGCCAAACCAAAACAGGCGTATATATAGTCCGTTGGCTTTTCCCATTTGCCACGATGCAAGTCCGGTTTGAATGGCTTGCGGCCACTCTCATAGGAGGTCTCATATACCATTTCAACAGTTACGATACGCTATATCTCAGTATAGCAATAATACAGAATATAATTGCACTTGGAAAATAAATATTAATTAAATCAAAGTCTATGGTGTATGACACATCGCACAAACCAAAATATTGTTGTTTATGAAGCTGAACAATGCAAGCAACAAAAACAAAAGATTAAAACGTTTCTAGCAAAGCTACAATTTAATTATTATTATGCTTTGTTGGTTTGATTTTTTTTTCGCGCACCCGCTTACTTTAAATTGATGTTTTAATTAGAGGAACGATGGCAGCAGACTGAATGTGAGGCCAGCGAGAACATCATCTATACCATCCATGGCTTGGGATATATACGTTTTTTTACCCAGCTCATATTGAAAATGAAAAAAGGGAATGACCAAATTCTGCAAAACTATGTAACAGACACACCCCCTTAAATAATATATATTCTTGATGAGGATCACAGGCCAAGTCGTCGGGCTGTCCTTATGAACGAGCGGATCTTCGACACCTTAAAAGCTGGGCACTACTAATTTGAAATTTTAGCTCTTGTATACCGTACAAAAATTACGTTTATTTCATGTTATCGATAACCCATTCCCATTTTGCGAGTATCCATACAAACCGATTTCCGATAACAATAAAAAAAACCAAATTTTAAGGATATATCTAATAATATATCTTAATGCTGAACATCTGTATAATATTCATATTTACAAAATTACAGAGCATGTGCAGACACACTCATTCGTGGAAGATAACCTGAACGCAAATCTTAATAGCATCTCCTAGTCGAGCTTTTTCGACTAGAGCATTCTTACAAGTTTGATAATCAACTCAGCGGTCGCAGTCTCAATATATATTTGAATAATCAAAGCACATTTACTTTTAGAAAATAGCAGCAATCAGTGGCGTAATCAGCTGCCCCATAACCTCATCTTATCTTAACTTAACATATACGCAAAGTGATTTAGATGAAAATGAATTAATAAATTATAATTCGTCCCACTTTACGGAACGCGACCCCCTCTATGAAAAGTTGGATACGCCCATGCCGAAAATACAAAAAAGTAAGGGCAATTAATCTTACACCTGATACATACAGCCAGATAAATTTAGTTGGGTAATATACCTAATACTAAATTTATACGTAACACACAAAACACATTTAGGCTTAACAAATCAATAATATAAAAATATGTTTGATATCTTATGCCATTAGATTATTTTTATGAGCAAAACAATTTCAAATGGTTTAAAGCTATCCCCAAAGAAACGCCCCTTAAACTAAATTGAATTTACATTATATTTATTGTTAATATTGTTATATGGGTGCATTTGATTATATTTTAATCATTTTAATCAAACATCATATATAATGATATTATTGACAATTAATATTTTTTTTTTTTTGCGTTAATATTAAGCTTTAATAGCAATCGTATAAAAAAATCGCAAAATGTTATATTTTCGACAAAATTGACACAGCTGCAGGCAACACAGACTTAAATAATAACGATTCTTACTTCGCTAACATGACCAATGACCTGAGAGAGGATGTGGAGAAAACGACCACTGTTCATGGGCAAACACTCACATAAATGAGCGTGGCAAATTTTAAATAAATTTCATTCTCTTGTAAAAATACTCTTCTTATCTGAGTAAGTTTTTCAGTATTTAATTTACTCCATAAATTCGGACCATCCGGTTCGTTTAGTTGTGCACAGTTAAAATCTTAGATATATGTATTTTATTAAATGCGAAAACATCAAAGAAAATTAACAATTAAAAGTGTTGGACACATTAATTTACTTCCTCGGTAACTTCATATAATTGATGAGTAATATCCGCATTGCCCACAACCTCCTCATATTTCTGGCGATCTTCCATTTCAACGGGATACCAGTCGTTTGGTCGACAGGCACGCCTGAAGCGATTACAAAATCCGCCAGTATTTTTGCACATAATATAGACGCCATAACCCGGAATAAACAATACAGGCAGCAGTACGAAAAACAAACTTATATAAATCACAATGGAGGAGGCGGTAAATGCGTCCTCATATTCAAAAGAGTTTGAGCTCATAAGCTGCAAGCAAATACATTCACATTATTATTTATATATGATATATTTATCAAATACTCACAGCAGCGAGCAACAGAAATAGTGGCGCTATGAAACGCAGTATAAAAACCTTCCATGAGGCAAACGGCTGTCCAAGCATGAACTCAATGTCCCGCTGGAATCGCTCCCGTCCGTAGACCCAAAGTACAGCCAGAAGGAGAAGCAGATGCAAAATAGGGTGCGAAAGTGTCGAATCCAATGTGAATGCCGAGAAGTATACAACGCCGTGCTGTTCAAAAATATACATTTAAGATTAGAGATAATAAAAAGTAATCAGACAGGTTCCAATACACGGAAATGTATAGGAAAGAATACCATAGTAAAGTACAAAAATTAAGTACAGTCCACTTGATAAGCATTAAGATTATCTAAAGATATAATAATGATGATCAATTGACTTACATTAGTGCAAAATAATATCGAAGAGACAGATAAAAAGCCCAACACTCCATAGATAACCTCCTTCTTATACATCCTCAATAACTCGAACTCATCGAAGAGACTCGTGAATACCGTAAATAGTTGCGTGGTCTATTCAAAAAGTCTATCATATGAAAGTATAAATTTAAGACAAATAAGCATATGTACAAACCATGACAATCAGTGAAGCCATAAGCAACATGATATAGTAGATAATGGTCCACATATTGGGCCATTCCAGTGTAGACAAAGCACTGGCACTTGATAAGTACAAAACCCAGTGGTCATCTACATACGTGTTGAAATCTTTTGGCGTCATATCTTAAAATGATATAGAGTAATAAATTACATTTATGTGTATGCACATATTTATTTTCAATTTAATTATTGTGAACTCTGTAACTTACTGTCATAATACCGATCCAACATATAGGTTACCATTCCGAACAAAATGTAGACGAGTGTCTGTCCAAACGCAATGATCCAGTTATACTTCATAACGTTTGTCTTGAAATTGTTAAAGCTGGCTAAAGCCATAACCGTACCCCAGCCAGAACCAAAAGCCTGCAGCACCACTGTAGTCATGCTAAAGCCACCATATACCATAGCATCTATACGGGGCTTTACATAATGCGTGAGTCCATCCCAGGCACCAGGTAGAAACAGAAAGCGAATGAAGCACATCACCAAAAGCACCAATGTGGAGACGACCATGTAGCGAACCAATTTACCAAACTGCCATTAATAATAAAAATGTTCGAGAATTACAAAAATTCGGGTATAAAATATGACTATTTAAAATTTACCTTGGCTGTTTCGGAGAACTTGTAGAAAATTAAGGCAATTAAAGCCCATATGGCAAAAGAGAAACCCACAATGTGCCAAGATAATTCGTAATTTTCATTATCGAATCGATTGTCATTCAATGACTCATAGTATTTTCTGCAGTTAAATACAGTTAGAAATTGCACGGATATATATATATATATGTATATACGTACTTAAAGTAAATCACTGAAGGCACGTGCACGATAGTCATCTCGAAGATTTCCGATTCATTATTACTTATTAGAATTGAGTTGACTTGTTTATCTGTCATATTACAGATCTAAAAATATGTAACAAATATATATATATATATATATACATAATATATAAATAATTATATATGGTAATATTACTTATACATTTACTAACAGTTGATTCATTGGACCAAGAACTAAATCCCTCGCAGCTCCAAGGGAGAGTTGGACGTAGGGAATTTACTATGAATATAAGTGGGACGAATGCAAAGATGCCATAATAGAGCAAACTTGCAAGGCTCAATGCAAGACTCACATATCCCATGCCTGGAAAAAATGAATATATGTCAACCTTATCCACATATTTGTACATTCAGATATTACCTTTAAAAAACGGCGACACTCGAAAAGCAGAGATGAAACCACTGCTCGAGAATTGACCCATAAATGAATGTATTACCAGTATAGGGACCAGATACAAAGCCATATAGATATAGTAAGGTAACATGCCAAACACTATAGTCACGCAAATAAATTTACAGATAGTTAACATAATAAAATACATTCAAATGAAAATATATTTTATTTTTTTCTAAAACTAATGCCAAAGAAACGCCCCTTTAACTAAATGACCTTTACACTAATGTAGATGTTGTTGCTAATATTGTTACGAATTTGCTAAACATGGATATTTTTATTCATTTGCCCTTAAATCGATAAATATTAAACTTTAGTAGGTATTCTGTAATTTTTGGAATCATTTTATTTTAAAAGTCAATACCATGTATCGAAAATTATATTACGATGTGCAGATGGAATCAACAGTGTGTTAAAATCAATTCACCACCCTCGTATTTGTACATTTTGAATACTAGATTGAGTTTTAATTTAAAGTGTTTTTTTTTTTTTTTTGAATTTGATTGGAAATTGATCCCACGAAAATACTTACAGCCCATATCGTAATAAAACCAATATGAAGCAACAAATGAATCCAATTTGAGTGCCAAGCCAAAACAGGCGTATATATAGTCCGTTGGCTGTTCCCATTTGCCACGATTCAAGTCTGGTTTGAATGGCCTGCGGCCACTCTCATAGGAAGTCTCATATACCATTGCGGTATATAGTACTCAGTTAATGTAGAACTGTATTGCACTTGAAAACAAAAATTTTAATTATATCAAAGTCAATGGTGTATCACATATCGCACAAACAAAAATATTGCTATTAATAAAGCTGAACGATGCTAGCAACAAAAAACAAAGAAAGATTAAAGCCTTGTAACAAAGCTGAAATTTAATTATTTTTGTGTTATGTTTTATTTTTATTTTTTTTTTTTGCGCTCCCGTTTGCATTTAAATTAACGTTCTAATTAGACGAAACGATGCCGGCAGACTGAATGTGAGGCCTGCGAGAGCATCATCTATAGCTTACTTGGAATGGGATATACACGTTTTATACCCTGAACCCATTAAAATCTAGTAAAATGGGTATCATGAAGTTGTGCAAAGATATGTAACAGGCAGATGGAAACGTTTCCCAACGCATACGATCTATATGTTCCTGATCAGGATCAAATGCCGAGTCGATCTGTCCGTCTGTACCAACAAACCGATCTCTGAAACTTCAAATTTATAATATATGTTTTTTTTTACTATGCACATATAAATATATAATAGTTACGTTCGGAGTATCTCGTCGTCGAGCTTTGTCGTCTGCTGCATTCTTACTTGTTTCATTATCAACTCAGCTGCCGCTCTGGAAAAATAGATAGAGATGAGGTTGGAAAATTAAATTTGTATTGGAAACACATTGCCTGAAACCGCAACACATGATGACATTGATAAGATTAGATGCTGATGTAAATATATGTAAATCTATTTGTAAGTAGTGTTGTGTTATATTTATGTACATTGAGTAAATATGTGCATCTGTAGAATAATAACTATCAATCGATAGTAAAGTATTAGTTTTCTTTCGTTTATTAAACAAACAAAAATGAAAGCAATCCTCAGAATCGAAAATTCCTAAATAAATAAATGAATACTGATCCAAAAGGTATATTTAAGTTGTGACAAAGATTGTAACAATCAGAAGGAACCCCCCAGCCCCCTCATCCCCATATAGTATATGTATTCCAGATCAGTATCGACTGCCATGTCAATTTAGCCATTTCTGTTTCGTAAAGATTATGGGTTCAGGGTATCTCCTAGTCGAGCTCTCTCGATAAGAGCATATTTGCAGTCATGTGTGTTAATTGCTTATCATAAAATAAAAATCGCACACTTCATTTACACATATAAATTTTTTAAATTCATTGTATACACAAAACCAAAAATTATGCAAACAACCAATTAAAAAGAAATAAATAAATTGTTATAGATTAATTCAAAATTATCATACACATGATCCATTATTATAATAATGATTGCAGCTTATGCCTAGATAAAATAAATTTATACTCTACATTCTTATATGAACAGTGATATTTATTTCCTATTATTTAAAATATCAAGCATTTTTCTGATTGTAGTATAATTTGTTAAACAGACAAGCTTTTACTTTTAGATACATTATTTAGTTCCTTTAACATTATATTAATTCGTACAGTAACAATAGAGGTGATTAACGCCTTCCTTAGTATGGTATTCATATGTTTTGTAATTAAATTACAAATAGTTCCAAATATTATAAACTTGTCTGTGTGGTCATTCCCTAAACATAAATAAAAGCGCCCGAAATTACTACATTGCTCGACATACAAATGAATAGTGGTAAAAATCAAGAATCATTTCCTAATAATATTATTCAGTCTAAGAATCGTACTATCATAAGTCTTTATCTGATCTATTATAAATACATATACGATCACCAATGATCACACATCAAATAAAGTAAAATTGTATTCATAAATTGAAACTGATTGTAATTCTGAAATAAAATTCAGTCCTTAGAAAATGTTTGCAAAAAGCACTTTGCTCTTTATTCGTAAATAGTATATGCAACTACAAATATCACCAGTTTATTGTTCTCTAGAACTAGATTTGGAAAATATCAGTACAATTATTTAAAAACATTATGGATGCGTGTAGATCTAAATATTTTTCTTCAGCTTTCCTGCTTAAAACACAATGGAGTTCAGTTCGACCTGAGTTCGAGGTCCTTTGCTTAAGTACAGCTTAAAAAATGAGTAGGTATATTCGTATTGCTTAGGCACTAGAAGGATGCAGCATATATGGTACATATAGCACCGATTCAGGCAGCATTGCCGTTATCAATGACAAGCATTTCGGAGTTGCCCATTATTTCCTCGTAGAAGTGTCGATTATCCGCACTGACAGGATGCCAATCGTGTGGAGCAAAACATTGCTTCATTCTTTGACGCCATGTGCCATTGGTCTGTGACAACTTGAAGAACATATAACCCAACGCAATGAGATAGATCACAGTCTGACTGATCCACATTTGATATTCTTCTCCACCATTTTGAGTTAGCATATAAAAAGTTTCCCACTGCAAGAAAGACTTGTTGCAATTCAGGTGTTGAATATAATATTATATCTAATAAAACATACCAAACCCAATGCTACAAAGAAGGGCACCACACAGCGTATGCAAAATATTTTAAGATTTGAGATTGTTTTACCCAGCATAAATTGCAAATCACATTGGAAACGCTTACGGCCATAGATCCATGTGGCCATTAATATCAACACGCCTGAGATGATCATCTGTGTAAATACCGTCATATAGGAAAAGGCGCCAGCTTGCCTAAAGCCCATCTGCAAGTGAACAATTAAGATTGAAGATTGAATAATAACAATTATTAGAAGAAGTCATATACGTACCTGAGTGCAAAAATAGACGGATGTGGCCATTAGACAGAGCACGAGTAGGATTGTAATGGGTTTCTTTTTGGGACGCAGCTGCTCGAACTCATCGAATATTGCTGTTAGCACAGACATCATTTGAATGATCTGAAAATATGTAAATGTTTTAAAAATATATAACCATAATAATTCGAATCTAATTAACAATTTACCAGCGCACACATTTCTGCTAGGAAAATTACAGCAAAGAAGAGAAATGACCAAAGTCTGGGCAGTGTTGCAAAACTGCCAAATAGATAGGAATACACTAGATAAACAAATTGCAAGGGGTGCAACTTATCCGCATGAAACATGACAACATGTACTACAAGAGAATAATAGATGATATTATACTGATAAATGATTTCTACTCTACGCACTTACATTCAAAATAATCATTAGCCACGAGACTGCAGACCAAGCCCACCACTGAGACTAGTACATGGGTAACACACACCCAAACGCTGAGGCGTTCAGCGTCGCTGCGAAAGCTGTTATAGCTGCCCAGGGTGATGATGCTGCCCCAGCTAGGACCCAGCACCAGGCTCGCCTGCAAGATGGCTACACCCACTGCTGATCTGAAGACGTCCAATTTGAATATCGATGGATGTTGATATTCGATCAGACGCTGGTATTCCTCCGGCTCATGCATCACCATATACACAAATGTTGCCACAAAGAGGCCAAACATCAGCACACAGGCACAGCGCATCCATTTGCCAATCTGTTGATCAGAATTTCAAATTAGTTTATGCTGACAAATCTACAAAGTAATCTTAAAAACTTACCAGCGAAACTTTTCTAAGCAGCAATGCCAACACAATAGGCCAAATGACCATTATGGCCAAAACCATGGACCATGATAATGTCCAAGCGCCAGCATCTTCTTTAATCGAACTTATCATAGAACTGAAAATATAAGCAAACAATTATGTGACTAATCACAAGTTGCCAACAGAAACATTCAACCTACTGGAAAAACTCCACTGTTGTATGTGGCTTTTGATAATCCGACTGTAAATATAAATATAATATAAATATATGCATATATCTACTATATGAATTTTGATTCATAATATATTTGAAGCACTGACCTCCTCATCATAACTATCATGTGTGGAGCACTCTGGCGTATTCCATGTATTATTGCAACTCTTCCAAGGCATAATGTCGTACATGGAGTTAACGGCATAGATTAGAGGAACCGCCGCATTAACGCTATAGTACGTTAGAGTGCCTAGGTTCAGCAAGAAAATCGAATAACCAATACCTTAAATTTGGAAAGACATTAACTTATAAGTCATACAAATAATTGTTATCAAATTATATACCTTTGAAAATGGGCGATACTCGAAACGCCGATATGGCGCCCGATGTGGAAAACTGTCCCAGAAATGTTTGTATCAGAAATATGGGCAGCGAAAATATAAAAACTGATAGCAGATAGGCGATCAAATAGTTCCCTGAAATTTAAAAATAAAGAAATCAATTTATTAAACCCTCTTTAATATAATCAACATTACAAAACGAATCAATTAAACTTAAGTTGGGCGGTAAATTCCATGTGAAGACTCTCTAAATTGTTTGTGTAAATGTATTTTGAGAAAACCTTACGAAAATATGAATAATCATGTATTACTCATGCGTCATGGGAGACACTACAAACATATGAAAAATATCTTCTTACGATTATAACCACAGTAGTTCTGCATCAACTATCTTGTAAAAATAAAATATAAATCACCACTCGGACTTAAACCACATAAATATAACTCATACACTCGGAATAAAATTGACTAACTTTATTAATGAGAAAGTATATTTCTAAAAAGGAAGAATGTATCCTTAAAAACCCAGATTTTTTTAGCACAATGTTGCGAGAGAAATTAATCATAAAAAATCATTAAATCACAGTTCATTTCCTATTGTTTAAGCATTACAAAGCATTGACTATAAAGTAATAATAAAGTATCTCTATAGTATTGTGCATCGATTAAAAATACATGTTCAAATTATAAGTCATGGGACTTTACGCTGCCTTTCGGTCAAATTATAATTGGTACACTTAATAAAATACATTCTCATTATTTAATGATACGCTCAGAACCTCGAAACAATAAGCAAAGTACCGACTTTTACGTACCCTCGAAAACATATTAGATAAAGGAGAAGTATGAAAACTATTTGATGAAGTAATCTAATCTGCGAAGGAAGGTAACACTTATGAAGAGTTACCCATTTCGAGAAATATTGTGAGAATTATTTGTGAACGATTGTTTTTTGATTTATCAAATCTATATATATATATTCTGATCGCATGGTCAGAGCTAAAATCTCGATTCTTCTCTTTGATGATCATATATAAATATTAACAATTTGCGCACAATGTATATTTAATTCTGTTGACTTATGCTCGTCCACTGATAACCTTTTCATTTATTTAATTGAATTTAAGAGATAAGAAAATAATAATAAATGGCAAACCGGTACTAAACTGACACTAATAAGTCAAAGCAGTCCAATTAAAGACTAATTTGACTATTTATTTAAAAACAACCAAAGTCTCCGATCTGTACTTACTCCAACCGATTTGAATGACCGCCCAAACTGGAGCATCCGAGAAGACCATTGTGCTGAATGCGTAAGTGCAGCTGGCAAAATAGAAATCCGCCGTTTTCGACCAGCCACCACGGAGATTGTCGGGTCGAAAGGGTCGCTCCATGGTATCATAGGAGCTGGTATTGCGTATTGCCAAACTGCACACTTGACGCGCTCGCAGCGAGCGACTTCCCTGATGAACTGGCGAATCAATGACACCATTACCGTTACCATTACCATTTCCGTTACCAATTCCATGGCCATATTCCGTGGATGCCTCCGAGTCGTCGAGGAGCATGCAATTGTTGACCTGTTGCTTGGCATCGCCACAGATGCCTTTCATATTGCGTTTTTGCACTAATCTCGAACCTTGAACAACATATATATTTATATATATATTATCTATAAGTAAAAGGGGCTATTTTAAGTGGAGTAGGCCCACTAGAAAAATTACGTCAACTGCACTTGGTTCTTTTGTTTCAATGGAGAAGTTGCTTTTGTTTCAAGTTTATTACGTTTTGCCACTAGAAAATGCACAATACTTATATGGTTGACCCAGTTAACACGTTTTTGGGTCAGCATAAAATATAACTATACATAATAAATAAATGTCTATATGTATTTTTCGTACTATGCCCGGGATTTAATTATGCGCTAAAGCTTCTAAAATCTTAGTAAGCATTTAAAAGTGGGGTCAACACTTTTATTTTTGTTTAATTACTTTCGACTCGCGAACTGTTTTCATTGAGAGTAGAGACGAGAATTCCACATTCACGACTATAACTCGATTCCAAGCGCAGGCAGAGAAGGGGATAAAAAAAACACCCGAACGATTGTAATGCTCGAAAGCAAATGATGCGATTTGTGATTACTCCTCCTGCTGCTACTGCTGCTGTCGCCACTGAGCAAAACTAAATAATTCTAAAAAAAACGAATTTAATTAAGTATAAGTATCTCTGCTTGCGGTTGTGTAAGTGTGTGTGTGTGTGTGCGTCTACAAATGGTACAATGGGTCAAAGTCGACACACAAGCGAGATGCTAATGAAGATAGCAACATTGTATATTCTTTGTCTAGCGATAAATAATAATATGTCATTTATTACTCAAAATTTACAACATAAAGAAAATCATAACATTCAAATTGTACCACTGTGCAATGACATCGCTAGCACTTTTCTTTTGTTGCACTCTCATCCAATGTTTCCTCATTTATGTATGACTGACAAAACAAATCTCATTTACGCAGCTCTGATGCATAGAAATCCACGTAAATGCATCGTAAATATACTATATAATTATATATATATAGTTTATTTACTCATGCACACAGTTTTGTACACATTCTACTTTGTTTGAATCAACAATGAATTAATGTATTGAAAATTGAAAACAAAGCGATTTGCGTATTTTTTCCGATACTCAATCTGATGATGGCAAACAGGGGGCAATGGACGACAGCGGGCAGAACGCCAGCTGATGCGGCGCTGCACTACCTCTCTCACTCTCACTTACGCAAGTACACTTGACATTCGCTTGCTGCGAGAGAATAACGAAATGCTGGGAGAGCCAAGTTATGCAGTTATTGCTCTCAGCTTAAAGCTTTTCAACAAGTCAATTTTTAACAACAAACGGCAGGCAAGTGAGTAAAATGCTTGGTGAGAGTGAGAGAGAGCAGTAAATACATTTGCTTTCTTTGTTTGTTTGTTTGATTTGGTGGTTGGTTTTTGTGTGCAAATTGAGAGCAAAGCAAATCAGCTGTTTTTTGTTTTGAAGAGCATTGTGTAATTTTAATGCCTTCACGGTATTTCACTCAACACGTGTGTGTGTGTCCAGGTTGCGTGACGATGACGTCAATTGGCTTATTAGATTATTAGAATTATTTGAGTGAATTCGGCATTCATTGAACTAACTGCATCACAAATCGAATGCGGCAAACGTGTCCAATTTGTTCTAATCAGTCAGTTAATTTGTGTGCGCATAAAAATGGCTAAATAGAATTCAGAAATGCTCCGAAAACAAAGAAAGAAAGAATGGCCAAGAATGTGCACAAATATATACTTAAGTATGTTTATGAGTTTCTACAGTATTCTCTCGCTGGTGCAAACGCTCGTTTCACATTTGAATTCAATTGACAAAACAAATCTCACTTGTCATAGTTATATTTTTCTAATGAAATTAACAATTTGTTTTTTATACTTTATTTTAAATGTTGTTCTTTTCGGCACTCCATTAAAAAATAAAATCCAAAATAATATTAAACTTTATCATCTGATTAAACATATAAAAAATGAAATGGAAAATTCTTCAAACTGAAAGTTATAATTTCAAAGCGACTACTGAATACAAGAAACAGCTAAGTGGCAACAACAAATTGGCGTCACGAACGTCTGCCAAGTCTCAAAATAAAAGATAAAGAATATTATAATAATATTGGCGCCGCAACAGAGAGACAGCGACTGTGATGATCACAAAGCCCGCAGCACTCGCTGCCATCGCACTCTAATCAAGTCTCACACTTTCACACACACACACAACAACAACAACAAACAGTATCAACAACAAATTAAACAAACACACACTTTACTATAATTGCATTTCGCAGACTGGCGACAATTTGCAAAAGTACTCGAGCCGCCAACGTCTATGTGTTGTTGTTGTTTTTGCTATGTTCTTGTTGTTGTTGCTGTTGTATGTCCATCGGACGTGAATCTGCCAAATCGATTGACGTTTGCCAGCGATTGCCGCCGTATCGACTTTCGATTGCGTTCGAAGCGTTCGCTGCCAGCGCCTCTTTGCCGACGACTAACTGGCGGACGAGCTGCAAGGCAAAAAAATCCAACACGCGAACACAGTCAGAAAGACGCCGTTCGAATCCGAACATCGAATACCGAATACCAAACTCCGACTCATTTCACCACTCACGAACACTGCTTGCTCTTATCTCAATCACAGTTACTGTTGCTGTTGTTGTCACTGTTGCAGCTGCTTTTGCTTTGCTGCTTCGGTTTTTTTTTTGCCATATTTGTGATTTATACTAGTTTTTTTAGCAACGATTTGTTTGTGGGAATTTGCAGAGGCATGCTTGTGGCAAGTTGCTCTATAATCCATATGTATATTCATTTTTGTATACATCGTAAGAAGTTTGTTTTGAATTTATTAGAATATATATATATCGATATTTTGAAGCAGATATTAATCAGTAGTGTAAACCATAACTATAGACCCACTTTTTAGTTAAGGCAATTCTTATCTTTATCCAAACCACATATTCAATTTTTTTGCAGTATTCTAGAGTCCAACTTATCATCAATATCTGTTGTTAGAGTGTTGTCTGGTTTTCTAATTTAAGTGTAGTTTTGATATAGGCACCAAATCATAAACAAAAATCCCTTGCTTTTGAATAACGGGCCAGTTTTGACAAAGTTATGGGCAAATACAATTTGGAACAATGCCAATATGCGGTTTTGTTGGGTAGAATTTCACCATTTGGTTTGCGTCTCAATTTTGTTTAAATATCTGCCCAAAATAAGCTTAGTTATTTATTTATTTTTTTAAATTTCTTTTAAACACGAATAGTAAAGAGTACAGAAATGTTCGTTGTGCTTTAGACCAGACACATAACTTCTAATCACTTTACTGGCGAAATTTGCAGTCCATTTTTAGATATTCTCCCAATATGGTGAGAAGCAGTTTGCCGCTGCTGACTGACGATCGCAGCATTTGCCACACATTCATATTCATTGTGTGCTTAAAACACGATTGACTCTTGGCCGCAGGCCACTAACAATAAATCATTTGCAGTGGGGCGCTGCATTGCTGGCCCCACTCCTCCTCCCCCCTTAAACAGATCATTCAACAACCAAATGCGGCAAAAACAGCTAAACAAACGTGAAACTTTGTACCCCAGAGAGCAATATATACATATAGGTATCGGACATATATATATATATACATACATATACAGTCATTATGTTCGAACTGCGGCTCTGCTTTCAAGCAAATCAGTCAGTCAGTCATCAAAGCGTCGAGTGTTCACAGCAAACAGTTCAAATTCAATATGTGAACACTACACCTGGGGAGGAGGAGGGGCAATCGTGAATGGAGGGCCAGAGCCAATTCAATTGCAGTACATTAGAAAAAGGTCCGCTTTATAGAAAACTATGCGCAAGCGCATGAACTTGTCACTTGGCTTGTTAACTTGGCCATAATTGCGGTTTTTCCACACTGCTCAAATATGTGTGCAAGTGTGTACAGGTGTGTGCGCGTATGTGCCTGTGTGGGTGTGTTTTGCGAGCAAACGTTGTTAATATTTAGATCAATAAGTCAGCGAACTATAGCTTATTGTATACCCCAACTTTGAAAATTTGAAATCCTAAGCTTGCTAGACTTAAATTAAGATTCCATACTAGCTACTACTATTCAAATAAAAATAAAATAAATACATAAATAAAAAAAATAAATAATATATGTATATGCAAACAAATTGAGCATATAAATATACAAATACAGGTTCCACATTTGTACATGTTCCGCATACGAATATAATTGCTTCATTTGTGTCGCAAATGTGTCGCAAGTTCAATAATAAATTCTTTAGTAATGGCGATAAAATCGCGTGTATGCGTAATTAAAGTTAAGACCTTCAACTAAGCAACTGACTAACTAAATTGAATGACTTTACAAATTGCGACAGACTATATGCTCTAGTTCAGTCAGTTTACAATCGATGTAATACAAAACTTCTGTAATATTATGTGTTATTTCAAATACTATACAGATGAATATATATATATTGTACTAAAGGCCTAAATCACGTATACGAACTGTAGGAAATTAATAATGCTTGGTTTTAACCTCTTTGCATAGATTTATTGTCTAGGAAGAAAGTCGTTTTCACAGTTGGCGATTGTTACGAAAATGGCTTTTGAATAAATATATTAAAGAAATACATAGTTGTATAATGATTAGTTCGAAAGAAAGGCTAATTTTGATGTCTTTTTGTGCGAGTACCCTGTTTACAAGTGGATGTATTTACAACATTCATTAATTATACATTAACATATTCAAATCCTTGGCAGTATCATGGCGGAATGGAATTCATCGTTTTTATTTTTGTCTTTTTTTTCGAGTTTACAGAGTGCCGGGAGCGGGTGCAGCGTTGATCGAAGCCACCGACTGGATGTGTCCAGCCAGGGGAGCAGTGTGCACGGCGCCACGAGTCTGAGCGGTATAGACACCTTCATGGGCAACGGGAGCGACAACAACAGCAGGAGCATGGGCAGCAGCCACAACAGCACCGGGAGAGGAAATCAATGCTGGACCAAGGGGAGCATGGATGGCTGCTGGTGGCCAGGCACCAACAGAGACAGCAGCGGGCCAGTGGGCAGCAGCTGGCACACCCCAGGGCGAGGCCAGCACGGGATTAGCGACCGCTGTGTAGGACAAACCATGACCAGCCACCTGAGAGATCAACGGAATCACCGAGGACTGCACGCCCATGGCAAGGGCCAGAGTAAAGACGACGGCGATGGCGAACTGCAAACATCAAAAGGGAATTAGTAGCATTAATATTGACATGAATACTCCTTATCTGCAGGATAAGAGATCCTTTGGATACTCACTTTCATTTTGCTGGTTTTGTTTGTTGGTTTTGTTGCTTGGTAGCACTCTTGTTGAACTCTTGTTCTGAACTGATCTATTAACGCTTCTGTGACCAGTTTTATAGCAAAACCCAGTCCAGTGGTGCCCCAACAATAGCCAGCAAAAGTTCAGCCAAGTGAGAGTTCGAGTTCATACTGACAATATTCATACCTTAATTACACTAACAAAAAAAAAATAGTATGCGCAAAAAAATGAGTGAATTTTCAACTTATATTAGTTACAGAAATTCTCAAATTTGTTTTGTGTTTTGCATGTTTTGCTTAACTCCCTAATAAGAATTTATCCAGATAACGATTAATCTCATTTAAAAACGGTGACGTTCTACAACGATTTAAAATGGTTTCCTACATTAATAACTTAATCGATATAATTAGTTCTCAAGTAATATAACATTAAATGTAGAATTTGTACTTGTATAAGAATATTCGAGAACCCTCAATAGCATTTTTTCTCTGAGTGTAGCTGCAATGCATACATATAGTGACATATCTTTTGCATACATGTGATTACCGCTATTGACAAGACACATGGGAACACATGCAGGCGTTCTGTGGACAACAAAAACGGGCAACACTCATATTCACACTCAACACTCAATATATGTAGACTCAAGCACTCGATCGATCGATCGATCTATCTTAGCCATGTACAGATATGCATATCGGCCCAACCCACTTTTTCTTTCAGTTGCAGTTCCGGTTAGTCTATTTTCACTGCGTCAACATTTACTGTATTTGTATAATATTTAATTATTTAATTGTTACTGTTTTGCATTAGCATATAATGTTTCTGGCTTGACAATCAAATAATTGATCGATTCATATCCTGATTAAGACAGGGCAGCACCCTAACTTAATTTATGTGCCATAAATTGATAATTTAGTTTAAGTTTAATGTATTAAACGATATATTTATACAATGATAAAATATGCGACAGCTTAACTATCTAGGTTAATCTAAGCGCTGCACATTTAAAATTTAACTATTATCCAACACTTTTTAGTATGCTATGCATTTAATCTAATGATTTCCAAGTTTTATGAACTCTTTGATTACTTCCTTGTTGTGTTTTAATTGTATCACTCCAGCTTTCCAAATTTTACAATTAGTTTAAGTTTAATACATTATACAATATATATTTAAGTTATGATAAAATGTGCAACAGTTGAACGATCCAAAAAAAAATCGTAAAAAGTTGATGGATAAGCTAAGGCGCTGCACATTTAATATTTAACTATTGTCCAACACTTTTTAGTATGCTGTGCATTTAATCTAATGAATTCCAAGACTTATGAACTTTTTGATTACTTCCTTGTTGTATTTTAAGCTGTGCCGCCCCAGTTAGCTAAATGGAGCGCATTTCAATGATTTTTGCATAACACTTACACAGCACACACTCCCTCTGCACATGAGCTTTTAAATTTCATTCGTGGGTGTAATGGACTGACAAAGATTTGCAGCCGGGTTCCAATCTGATCCACCCACATAGGGGAAACAATTAAATCCCAGTACAAAGACAACCGCAAGATGCAAAACAAAACAAAAAGAGAGCAAACGGCAAACAATTCAATTATGCAAATGGACGACAATTGATTTTGGAAAAACTAAACAGAAACAGCCAGCGAACCAGTTTCGTGGCGACAAACCCAATAAGCCCAATGAAAACCAGTCAGGTGTCAGACTTGCACCAAAATGCATTTTTAGCGCAGCTCAAAATAATAATAGTTGCCCAACGCCAACGCCAACGCCAACAAAAAACTTAAGATTAGTTCAAGTTAAATTCTTGAGGGCTGATTATCTGTTATTAGCTGCTGCCATAAGTTAATTTAATTTACAATATCCACTATATACTTAGATACACATGTACCTACATATTTTAATTAGATAGATCGATCGGGGCTTGTCAGTGCTCAGGTGGCTACAGTTGTCATTGAGTTGAGCCGTAATTAGCACTAAGCGTTTGCATAATTAAGCATACGCCCTGTGGTCGCTATCTAAATTGCTGTATAGAGCCATAATAAATAAGCGCCTTTCGGTCAATTAAATGCATGGCTAAAATATAACTTGCCCGGGTCATGACTACCGTTCAGTAGCCATTTAAAACGTCCAAACGTATCATCATATTAACAGCTATGTATATAGTTAATATAATCGCACTTCAGCTTAAACTAGCACAAAGACATATTTGATCTCGACATTCTTTTCGATATGAAATCAATTAAGCAATCTGTAATACATTTCAAGGTTAGCGATATTGTTTGCAAGTGCCGCCCAGCTGCAAGGTCGTTTTTTATACCAGTACTGTTTATTACTCTGATTATACGGAATGGATTTATGTTTAGGTATTTTAATGACTACTTAACTCACTTTACTTAGCCAGCTCTCAATTGTTTGTTATAAATGTGCTATTTCAGCTGAGTTTTTTATAGCCTAGGGATAATGTATAGATCAGTACCTTGTTATGGCAGCTGCTTAACCAAATGATCACACCACTTTTAAAACTAAAGCTGGTTCTAAATTTAACGTTATGTCCAAGGCAGTAAAAATAATTCTATTAGTATTTTTCCATAATTTACCTGCCTGTCGATTTAGTAGGTTTATTCAGAGATATTCAGATTGAGCGAAAGTGGAATTACGCCAGGCAAAAGCGCAAATGGAATATTTTTTTTTTTTGAAAAGCGGAAATGGAAAAGTTTAACGTAGCACGCCTGTAAATACATCATTCATTTTCGAATGGGATAAGATTAAATAAAAAGTTTTGCGTAAATTAGAGCACGAATATGTGAGTATTATAATACCTCATATATATAAAAACAAATATTAAGTCTGTATTGAAAATCTGAAAATTCCCTGCTTACATAGCCTACATTATCCGTCCAACCTATAATATCTCTAATAGATTTCTGTGTTAAATATTTAAGTATATAATATATATTATTTTAGTCAAAAGGCTAATGTAATAATTTAGTTATCATTAGATGGCATCAATCATTTCCCAGAATTGTATTTTGAAAACATCGGAACAATCAAAGTTACAATTCCAGCTTCAAAAACTTCCGCAATTCGAGAATTTCACTGTGAATGCTGTTTTAAATAGATTTGAACCTTTTTACTCCCTCAAATCACGATGAAATAATAAAAATGCAATAAAATATTCGCTTAAATAAAAACGTTGAGTGAGTTTATTTAAAACAATTTTCGTCAATCTTACAATTGTTGCAAATTACTACAGTAATGTATTGATATGTATGTGTTTATGTATGTATGTATGTATATACACCGAATATGTACAAAGAGAGGAAGGAATGAAATAAAGGAAGTAAAAGACAGAAGAAGATGGAAATTGTATTGTTGCAAAGTTGGATAGATAGATAGATTAATAGATGGATTGAAAAGAAGAAGGAAAGCTGAAAAAGCTTTGTGAATTGAAAGTTCTCAAGTAATAAGAAATTAACATGCTGTTATTTGTTGGTTGTAGTTGTTGTAATTGTTGTTGTTGTTTGTTGTTGGACTTATTTGCTGAACACAGAACTAACTCAAATGTGCGGAGTAAGTGTGTATTTTTTTTTTTTTTTAATGTTTTTCTTTCTCTAAAACACTGAAAGAATCATCAAATGATTCCTCAGTTCGTAACGGGACTAAGAGCGGTGTGCTTAAAGAATAATGGATTGTGGTTATGGTGGTGGTGGTAGAGTATCCGGTAGAATCAGTGAAATCGTATGGAAGAAAGGAAGACAGAGTGTGGACGAGACAACAATTGATTTGGCCAGTTGCACGGTTGATCCTTGGCTGTCCTCTTCATCATCCTGCCCCATTCATTCCATTTTGGCATTGTGACAATTTTTTGGGCAGTGAGAGAGAGAGAGATTTACAAGGTGCCAGGTGCGGCAGCCAAATTCACAGAGGTGGCGGAGTTGACGTGACCGGCCAATGGAGCAGTGTGGACGGCACCACGAGTCTTGGCCACATAGACACCCTCGTGACCGCCGGCGGGACCCTGAGCGAGGGCAATGCCGGGCACACCACCGTGCCAGCCGGGAGCACTGACGCCCCAAGGAGCAGCGCTAGCGTGGACAGCAACGGCAGCGGGTGCACCCCAGCCATGGCCCCAGGCACCGTTCCAGCCACCGTTCCAGGCACCGGCACCATTCCAGCCACCATTCCAGGCACCGTTCCAGGCACCACCCCACGGTGCACCGGCACCATGGGCAACGGAGTTCACATAGCTGACACCGGGTGCAATGGCGGCCCACGACGCATGGGCACCGGCAACGGCGCACACAAACATGACTACGGCAATGACGAACTGCAAATGCACGAGAGGATTAGCACCCAACTGGAGTTAAGAAAAACCCCACGGTAAGTCCTTACCTTCATGTTGCTTGTTGTTGTGGGTTGGTTAGAGAAGTTGAAGGAGTAGAGAGGAGGAGACACTTGTTGAATGCTCAGCGAACGAGTTGATTCTGATTTCGACTACCAAATTGTGGCAACTTTTATACTAAAAATTATATGCACCGGACAAGAAAAACAAAAACCTGCCCCACACAATAACAGCAGCAACTACAATAACAACAACAAATGCACTCAAGAAAATATATATCAAATTCGTATAAATGCACAAAAAACTAGACGACGCCCAGCTTAAAGCTGGCGTCGTTGCCGGCGTTGCGGCTGCAGAATTGGAGCAGATCTGCTGTGAGGCTAAGCAGCCTTTCACTGCCCAGCTGCGACGTTGACGTCGTCAAATCGTCCGACTGAGATCTCTGCTAAGGTGCTGATGTCGACGCTGGTCTCTCTTCCCCTCTCTATCTCTCTCGCTCTCTCTCTCTCTATCTCTGTCAGAGTGCGGGCGGCTTTGTGTTGCGCAAATTGCAATAAGCAAAGAATTTAAGAGCCGAAGGAAACACACACACATACACACACAGTGCATAACTATCGACAAAGCAATCGAAAACACGAAAATTGCAACAACACCAAAAACCAAATTATATATTGATAAAGCACAAGTCACAAACACATTTAAAAGCCATAAGCAAAAGACCTGCAGCATTGGGCAAAGCAAGCCGTTGGCTGCAACCTTCTCCCCTCCCTCCCACAGCATAGTTAAATTGTTTGCTGTTGTTGTTATTGTGGTTGTCAGAATATTTTTAATTATATATCACTTTAAGGCATACAAACATATACGCACACACACACACACACACACAGACACATATATGTAATGGTCGCGTGCCTGCACTGAAAAAATACATATGAATTGGCAACTGTTTATTTGAATTCTGTGGGCAATTGTGACGTCACAATGAATATTAGAAGCGCTCAACAATCGTCATCGAATTTTGTTAGATTCGAATTCTCAGAGCAAGCTCCGTTTTTTGGCATATTTCCATTCGTTCCCGTTGCAGGTGTAAATTTAAATTCAAGTAGAGTTATGTTTTATCAAAAATATAATCTTGAAATTTATTTCAAGTAATAAATTAATTGATTAATTTTAAAGTGATATAAAGAGAATGTAAGGATATATATTTTTTGGGAGAATGGGAGAACTACAAACTCTATATTTTTAAAAAACTTACAACAGCCTTTGTTTTCCCAAATTTCAAAGGCAAATTGAACTCAGAACAGGCCTGAACAACTTTTCTCTAAATAGAATTATGAATTTTTCTCAGTGCTATCAATGAACAATTGCAGTTTGAACAAGCAATTCGCATGGTTCCAAAGTAGGAAGGTATGTGGACAACGTGGGGCAACGCCCAAAAATATAAATATAATCAAAGGCTGTCAGCGGCAGCGGCAACAGCCGCAACAGCATTGGGCAACAATAAAAATGTAAAATAGTAAATCGAATTGTTGAGCTACTTTTCCATATTCGGACACTTACTGGGCAACTTCAACTTGAATTTGACACAAGATGCAAATCACAAATCACAACACAAACTCCGCTTCTAACGAGTTGAGGTCAAAATGTCAAAGACCATTTTAAAGTCCATGTCATATAACACAACCAGAACCATTTCGAGCCGACTGTTTGACAGGTAACAATAAAAAAAAAGCATTAATCACATTGAATATGATTATCCACGGGAACATAACGTGGTCTTGTGGAATGCCACAAGCTTGTGCTATTACAGTAAATACCACATCAACTTTAATATTCATAACCCTCATAAATTGAAATGCACCAATAGCGAAAGTCAACGCTGTGAATTGTATTGAATTTCGAATTTAATACCATTGAAACTGTTTACGATTGGTAATAATATCAATCAATTATCTTTTCCATTTCAAACAGAATGATGAAATATTCTGGGTATTTATTTATTTCAAATTGCTGATCTGATAACGCTCCCGTTCAATGCCTGATCATCTTATCCATTGTTCCGTGGCCCAATTGTCTTGCTTTGAGGCTATTCTCCCAAAACGGTGGGTGGAGATTTTGAGCACTGGAACTGTTTTGGCCTAGTAACTATCTGGCCGGCATTGTAATGATCGGTCAGTTATCGCCACAAAATCGGCTAATTGGCGCAGGTTTTTGTAAGCCAGGCGAACAACATGTACGATTATGCAAATTTTCCAACTCTTTTTTTGTGTGTTTTTTTATCTGAGCATACCGAAAAACAAGTTTGCTTAATATTGTGTTATTGTTAAAGTGTGTTATATTAAGACTATTTTTACTTACATTTTTCTTGACTTAAAATCTATTGATTTTTTATTAAACAATATTTTATTAAACAATTTCTATGTATTATGATTTTAATCATGTCCTAGATAGATAAGTTACAAATTAATTCATATCGATAGACATTATTTTGTTTCACTCCAAGCATTCCATTTTGGACTGGATTTTGTTAGCTAGACTGTTAAACAACTCTGTGTACTCAATTCTGTCAGAAACAATTACTTTCAAAAGTGCCTTACACAAACTTGTAGCTTTTCGTAGTTCTTCAGCAATTTTTGCAGACGTTAAAGGATGTCTAATTTAATGGGTAAGGCCACGGCCCTTCTCAATAGTAAGTCAAGAATTGCTCCACTTTTTCATTATATTTAATGTTTTCCTTATTAGAGTTCAAGGCTCAGGCTCGTCCACAATTTGATGAGTTCATGCGATATGCCAAGGTGGAGTTGACGCCACCAACTCCAGCTGATTTCCAGCATTTGCGCAAGACGGCAAAGAAGGCCAAGAAGGATGTAAAGGGTACACGCAGTCGTCTTGGCAGAGTAACTGTCGCCGAGGCTTGGCTGAATACACTGGTCACCATCGAAGTGATCACCTGGTTCTTTATGGGCGAGGTTATTGGACGCCGTCACTTTGTTGGCTACAAAGTCTAAAGCCGAAATATGCAGATGGACAAATCCTGTCGTGTGTTATGTGTTCTCTGAGTTACATATAAATAAATAAAAACAGCAGCAGCAATTATTCGCGGATCATAAGTTCAATTCGTAACGCCCATTTATTGTCAGAGCTGCACCTTGAAATTCCAGCAGCATTCTGCAGCATTTGGAACCAAACATGAGCATACTCATAATGCATAAGTTGAGCTCAGCTGTGCACTGGCATTGATCTTGGACACCGAGTTAACGCTGAAGCTGAAGCTGCTCTCAACTGGCAGCTGGTCAATTGCTACGTGACAGGCAGCAGGGAGGCGTCCAACCAGAGCAAGGCGTCAGTTCGTGTTGTGGGCGGTCAACTGGCATAAATCAGCTCGACACCACTCTGCACAATTGCACAATTCAAAACAATGCACATGTCGCCCTCGAACAACAATAACAACAATACACACGTACACACACACACACAAACCACACACTTGCTCAGACACACATTTACCATTTACCCCAATTTGCATGGCATTTTAATGCCCCAAAAAAAATTAGAGTTGAACACGTGTCATATTTTTCCAATACGCCAGAAACTATAAAATGCTAAGACGCCAAACACATTTAGCTGTGTGAAAATCTTTTTTATTTATTGCAAATTTCAGATTTTTACTCAATAAAATCTATGCCTTGCAGTCTTGTTCGACATTTGCCTAAATGTTAAACAATTTTATATTATGGCTTTTTGATCATAAACAAACTTTTGCTTACAGAACGACTAATATTGAAATTGTAAAATATTGGTCTTCTTGTGTCTAACCCTATTCAAGGCCTATATTTAAAAAATATTTATATCAAGATCCATTGTAACGCATTCTATGTTCCTCAATCTAAAATATTTACTTGTTCTTTTTATGTTTTTAGTTAAAGTTTAATTAAAGTGATTACATGCCAATGTTTTAGCCTTGTTTTCAGCTGTTGACCGTTATGCTAAGTCACACATAATGTCTGATGCATCTGATAATATACCTCGTGTTAGATTCTATGTTTTCGTGTCACGACACGTGTTCAACTCTAGACCCCAAAAGCCACAACAAGTGAAGCTTGACGCAATCTGTAGGCCCGATTGCATCATGCCCAGCTCGCAAACCAAATCCTTATCAATATTGTTTTCTTTTTTTGTTATTTAATTTTAACAGAGAAATAGAAACGCCCACCATTGGAACCACACCGCGTAGATAAATGCGAATTACATATTAAAATCGCATAAAACGATATAAACTTATTATGGCCCAGTCGACGGGTTCGCGGCTTAGCGGCTAGCCTTACTTAATCTGGCATAAACAATTTTAGCCACGCTTGAATTCAATTTCGGCCAGGCCCAATTTGGCCTGATCAACAGTTCTCTGTTGTTTGGCTGCTGATTGTTGCAAGTTGCCACCAACCGTGGGGCAGCAACACACATTTGGCAACGGACCATTGGCCGCATACGAATGTCTAACAATTTGCGGCTGCCGCTTGTTGTTGTTGCGGCGGCTGCTGCTACTGCTGCTTGTTGCAACGCCTTCTTCACCCACGCCATCGACACCTAACAATGTGGCTCATTATTTTATTTAGTTTGTCACACTCTACTTATAGAAAATAGCTAAAGGTGTAAATATTTTATTATTTAATATGTCTTTAAATTTTCACATAAACATTATTTGAGATTAGATCTCAAATTTTATTATACCGATTTTCAGGCTCGTTCTTAGCGTAGAACATTATTTCATTTTATCACGAATTCCTTGCAAAGTATTCAAATAATATAAGTTAGTAACTAAAGTCACTTTATGTTAGGATATTTTTGGTTCGCGTATTCCTCACAGCTTTGCGTTTATTTACTTTTGTTATTTGCAACTAATTAAGTACAATAACATTCGACTTGATTATGGAATAGAAGTGGGTGGCCTCTGTTCGGCCTGCGAATTCGTTGCAATTGTTACAATTGCAATCAATTCGACATTATACAGTGAATGCATACATGTGAATTGATTGATTTAATTTGCCATCAAAATATATTCAATCAATCTTTCGCCATAATAAATCCAATTACAATTATGATGTTAAGCACCGTTAATGTCATTTAAAGACAATAATTATCCACTTTTGTGGCCAAGCCCACTTGACAACTGTCACAACGTACACAGAGTACTACAGCTTTAATTTGTATATGATTTTTCTAACACATTCTATGGCCAGTTGAAATGCCTTTGACTTAAAGTAATTAGACGATGTACACGCTTCAACGGACACAAGGAGGGGGCACTGCAACAAATCTAGTTTTGATGAGGTGCAACAAGTTTTGCAGTCTATTAAAAGTCTGACAGCGTTAACGCATTTACGAACTTTTTACGCAAGTAGTTCTGTAATTTCGCATAGCAGGAACTAGACAGACTGAATCGTGAATATTATGAAATGAAAATTGCACAGTTTACTGTTAGTATTTGTGTTGGGAGAGTTGAATAGAATATTAGATTTAAATGAAGGCTCTTTCATTAATCGCAAACACGTCAATGCAAAAAAAGAACCGTGGCGAATATCGGGAAATGTATATACTTATTCTCTAATCTGAACAAAACAAAATATGTGGCTTACAATCTGCATAAGCAAAGTTCAATTCAATGAATTTAATGTTCTCCTACTTTTCTATTTGGATAAATCAAATTCACATGGATTGTAGAAATCTGTATTTAATAAGTATATTAAAATATATCTAGTGAATATATTTTTAGTGCAATTTCTTTGGCTTGTACTCAGATCATTTTTACTGATGAATACACTTTAGTGATTGTAGACAATCCAATATGTTCTTGACTGTATCCTTGTGTATTTTCAGATTTTATCATTCCTCGACAATTTAGCAAAATTAGGGGTGTCTCCACATTCAGTTAAAGAGATTGCAATTAGTCCAATTAAAGATTAACTATCATTTAATTAGTTTAGAATCATTCATAATAATCATCTGATCAAAATCAAACCTCTTATTAATAACATTACAAATAACTGGCTTCACTTCGCAGCTAAGATCATATAGTCCGTTAACCTTATTTGGTAATTCATAGCCATCGCCCACATGTGATCACGAGCGTATAAACATAAACAAACATAAACAGAAACAGAAAAAGAAACATGCACTGCAACGAGTCGTAAACAAAAGCAAAAATAAAAGCAAAAACTGAAAAAATGCCAAACTGCTTAATGGCCTGAAAACAAGATTCGACAAACCGGCAGTCAAAAGCGCATGCGTTGTGCGTTGGCCCAAATGCATTTGACGGCCTTGGCTAGTGCCCGATGCTGGCCACATTTACTGGGCCAACTTCTGCGTGCCAAACCAGTAAAGTGCGTTTGTGCGTCCAATGAACTCCAAGCACACCCAAGCAGGAAGCCTTTCAATTCAGATTACATGTGCGTAAACTTGAACTTGTGTGTTGTGTGTGCTGTGCCGGGGAATAGGAAATCGCTTACAGTCTCTTGCAGCTGCAGCTGCAACTGCATCTGCATCAGCGTCTGCGTCATGCGTTTTGCGTAGTGTGTAGAAAAGTATAAAAATAAAAATAAAAAAGTGAATGGCAAGCAACTTGCTGGGGCTAGATAGATTTATGGGCAGTTGCTATTGGGCTTGGCTGCCAACATGACATGGTAACAAACAGCGGTGCTGACTGTTGTTGCTCACTGTTGTTATTGCGGCGGCTATTGCTATTCGCTATTGCTATCGCTACTGCTGTTTACCTAGCAGCCAACGCCTGCTGCTGCTGCTGCTGCTACTCCTCAGTGTTGTCAACCTTTAACGAGCCAAAAAGAGCGGGAAAATTGGTTTCGAAATATTTATTTGATTTTTTGAAGGTTGTCCCTGAAATTGAATGCAGTTCTTTATTTATGCTAAGACTTAAAGTATCTTGATGAAACTTGGACTATATTCATTTCCTTTTCATCTTGCTGCAGACACTAAATATGAATGTATTTTCGATTGGATCTCTTTTTGATATAGGAAGAATCGATCGAAAGTTAAGTTCGTGTATTTAGTATCTAAATAAAGTCAACATTCATGTTTAGCTACACCCCTTTTTGTTAGAAATTGATAAGAAATAAACAACAAAAAATCAAGTTAAATTTGACTGGGAAAAAGCTGACTGTGCAACACTGATGCTCGCTGCGTGCCTCGCTGCGTTGCCTACACCCCGATGTAAAATGAGAGCTGGAGCTGAAACTGAAACTGAGGCTGTAGGCAGTGGCACTGGCTCTTATTGGCAGGCGGGACACGTTCAACATTTGACACTTTTATTGAAGTGGCTATTGGGATTTAACGCTTATCATGTTTGCTAATTCATCGACACTGGTGGTTAGCGATTCCATTCGTCGTTCCATTTAAGTCACTTTGCTGTGTGATTTCGTAATAGGCACTGCGCTTAGAGGATGTCTAGACTGGCTGGACTTGCACTCCCGCTAAAGACATTCACCGGAGTGCATGTTCGTAACTGTAACTGTAATTCAATGGGGCGACGTAGGTGTTAAGGCGGATTTGAGGCCCCAAACGCGTTTTTTTACTACACATACTACACTTTATTCAAGCAGGGCGTATCAGGTTTTGTGTGTGTGTGTGTGTTTTTTTTTTTTTGTATTTACATTACATGAATTTTTCTATTAATAATTGCGAGTGCCGGCCGATCAAGGCAAACAACCCCTGCTCCACTTAAATCTAACTCTCGTTTTCAGTTGCTGTAACAACAATGTTGCAGCAGTTGGCAACAACCTGGTTGGCCAGATGTGTGGCCCCTTGACGTCGTCGCTGAGGTTGACGCAGGCGTAAAATAAATCTGAAAAATGATAGTAAAAATAGTCAACGCCCCCTTGATTGCTTCCATTAGTTGATCGACAGCTTAAAATTGATTAATTACATATAAGTAACGGTATAATTATTGTTATGTTCAAAATCGATGTTCAGCCATTTCTTTGTTCTATCCATAGGCAAACTTTAATGAGTTTATATTTGAATAATCCTATAAGGCCGTTTGGATTTGCTACCCTTTTAAAAATGTAAAATATTTTCAAGTTTACAATCATCACACAAATTTGAATAGCCGTTAAGCTAAGGCTGATAATCAACTACCAATCAAGACTTATCGACTTTTCTGTGAAATTGCTCGTTAAATACTCTTAAGCGGCATGCGCTTTATTCATTAAGTGAACTTATTCATGCAATGTGATCTTAAAAGTAGAAACATCAAATTACACACGATTACCAGATAAACCTTAAAGTTTTTTCATATTTCTATCACTGATTTAAACATTCGCAGAATAAATGCGCTGTCTATCGATCACCCACCACAAATTATCGGCAACTGACCGTGCTGTTAACTATTGATTCTGTTAAGTGAGTACTTTTTGTACACATCGAGTAGTTCTGTCGCATTGCGTTAAGCGGCACGTGTTGAGCGAGTTTTGATTTTCGAGTTTGTTGTTTGATTTAATTGCATATTATTAAGGATAACAATGAAGGTCGCCACAAAAAAGGTTAAGTCCTTGGACAAATCGAAGCCCAAAAAGAGTTTAATCAAGAAAAAGAAACTGTCGGAGGAGCCACAGTTGCCGAAGGCCGCGAAGAAAACCGTCAAGAAGGGCAAGAAAGATGAAATAAAGCCAAAAAAGAAAGTGGCAAAAAAGTCACTCAAAAAAGACTTGGAGGGACTCAAGGACATCGATCCCGAGTTCTATGATTTTCTAAAGAAGAACGACAAGGAACTGCTCGATTTCAATCTTATGGGCAGCGATGATGACGACGAGGAGGAAGAGGAAGCTGAGGAGAAGGCAGCTGCAGAGGATTTGGACAGCGAAGACGATGATGGAAAATATCACAAGCCCAGTGATGATCTGGCCGTAGCCAGTGACGAGAGCGAAGGCGAAGATGATGATGCTGACGAAGAAGAATCTGCCGGAGGTGCGCAAAAGATTACACTAAATATGCTCCGACAATGGGAACTGCAGCTGACCAAACCCAATGTCTCCGTGGAGGCAGTTCGTCAGGTCATCCAAGCATTCAACTCCGCGCTGGCCAGCATTAGTGCAGATGCTGAGATGGGTGAGCAGGCCAACGCCAGTGCCTATAAAGTTGTCGGGGCCGCTGCCTTTAACGGAGTAATCCAGCTGTGTGTGCTGCACCTGCAACCAGCGATTATAAGAGTGCTGGGCGTGAGACCCAACAGCAGTTTACCGCTGCACAAACACAAGAAGTGGGTTAAGGTGCGTGGCTGCCTGCGCTACTACTTGGGCGACCTGATACGCCTCGTGGAGCAAGTGTCCAGCACGAATATACTCAATGTGCTGCTCAAGCATCTGCATCAGATGGCCGGCATGGTGGCGCCCTTTACAACGCTGGGCAAGACCATACTCAAGCGCCTCATCGTGCTCTGGGCAACGGGGGATGAAACAGTGCGAGTGCTCGCCTTTCTCTGCATCCTCAAAATAACGCGTAAACAGCAGGTGAGTTAAAGTTTAATAATATTTAATACAATCCTGTAGTCTCTAATTGAAATCATTATTACTTGGCAGGCGACCATGTTGAATCACGTGCTGAAGGCCATGTATCTGGCGTATGTGCGCAACTCCAAGTTCGTGTCGCCCAACACGCTGCCGGGCATCAATTTTATGCGCCGCTCGCTGGTGGAGATGTTTGCCCTCGATCTAAATGCAAGCTATCAGCACGCCTTTCTCTACATCCGCCAATTGGCGATCCATTTGCGCAATGCTGTCATCCTGAAGAAGAAAGATAGCTTCCAGGCTGTCTACAATTGGCAGTATATCAATTCGTTGCGACTCTGGTCGGATTTGCTGGGCGCTAGCGCAAATAAGCCGCAACTGCAGCCACTCGTCTATCCACTGGTCACGATCACAACGGGCGTCATCCGCCTCATACCGACAGCTCAATATTTTCCGCTGCGTTTCCATTGCCTGCAGTCGCTGATTTCACTGGCGAAGGAGACGCAAACGTTTATCCCGGTGCTGCCACTGATTGTGGAGGTGTTGCGCAGCAATACGTTCAATCGCAAACACACCGCGGTATCCATGAAACCGCAGCAATTCACTTGCATTCTGCGCCTGAACAAGGCACAGCTCGCTGAGAATGGCTTCCGCGATGAGGTCGTGGAGCAGGTGTGCGGCCTGCTGTTGGAGTACCTGTCACATGAGTCAGCCACGCTGGCATTTAGCGATCTGGTTGTGCCCGTGGTCATGGCCCTTAAGGCGTATCTCAAGGAGTGCCGCAACGCGAATTATACGCGCAAGATGAAACAGCTGCTGGACAAGATTCAGGAGAGTGCACGCTTCATTGAACAGCAGCGGAGCAAGACCAGTGTCCAGCTGGACCTGAAGAATGCCCAGGCGGTGCAGGCGTGGGAGCAACAGGTGCGCAACAAGCGCACACCTCTGGATATCTACTATGCCAGTTGGGTGAAGACACACGAGACGAAGAAGCGGCGTCAAGCGGCCCAAACGGATGACATTAATGCGGACTACGATATACCCAAGCTGAAGCGACCGGCGGCCAAGACGGGTGTTCCAGTGCGCAACGAAGATGGCGAACTGGAACTGTTCCCATCCGATTCCGAAGACGATGACGCAGGCATTCCCTACCAAGACGACGATGATGATGATGATGACGGCGACATTTCGGAACCAGAGGAGCCACAGCCCAAGAAGCCCAAACGCAAGCAGCCCAAGGAGCAATCAAAAGAAACGATTCCCGCTGAGCCTGCGGATTATTATGATGAGGCAGCCGCAGCTGTTGACATTGTCAAGGATTTAGATTTGAGTGACTGGTAATTGCTGATGCCCACTATTATGAGAGAAAAATAGCTAATTTCATAAGAAATTCAAATAAAAAAATTAATACCAAACAAATTTTTTTAAGTGTCTGTTTTCGTTATTTGCATTGTATTTGCATGTATTCAGACAACAGAAGGTTTGATATTCTCCTTCAATGTATACAAATCTTGCTAGAGCTATTATATCTTAGCTTTATGATATAGTGAACAGGTATAGCCGAATGGTGTTGGGATATATTGTAACAAATCTCTCGACAAATTTAAATACTATATGCAAGAATATTATTAAACACACCTAACAAAAAACGGCTAAAAAGATGAACTCGCTGCACTGATTGGCAAACACATTTTTTTGGATAGCATAAACATAATCTAAGAAATACGTATATTTACAAATTAATTCAAATTACGAGGAACATGTTAATTCTATTGCCCCTTGTTCTTCTTGCCGGGCATAATCTCGTACTCCTCGTACTTGGGATAGGTGCCGATCGTTTCACCCTCCACCTGCTTGGGCATTGCCGCCGCATCCTTGGCCTTGGCGTAGTGGGCATCCAGTTCGGCTGCATTGCGCTTTTTCATGTCCATGATTTGAAGATTCTTGACCAGTTCATCGCGTGTGGGCGGCTCCTCGCGTCGTCCGCGCAGCCACGCCTCCCACTCGGCTGTCAGCTCCTGATCAAAGGCATCCTTGTCGGCGGGCTCAAACCAACGCGAGGATTTGCGTTTGCCAATCGATGGATTCGCCGGTATTTCATAGTATTTATTGCCAAAGTAATCTTCGCCAATGTAATTGCCACGAAATTGTCGCGGTCGCAGCGAACGCAAGAAGTTTTGCCATATAATGCCAATGAGATCACGCGTCGGCTTTTTGTTAGCCATCGTTGCAAGTGTTTATATTTCTTACAGTTAGTTACAGGTTAGAATCGATTATTTGTTGTTATGACACACAAACAGCTGACAGTGTGCACAACGCCAAGATGTCAGCTGAGCCCGCCAGTTTTTCAAATTGCAAGGCATAATTTCGCTTTTAATTTAAATGATTCTTGTATATTTTATTGAGGTTAGATTTCAATTTGCAACATTTAACAGCTGTAACTGTAACTGTGGCAATATCGTAAAACGGTAAATTGTAAAACAACAGATTTAGCAGCTTTAACTATAACAGTGGCAGTATTGTAAAACGACAGATGGCGCAAAATTTAAAGATGCAAATTATGTTTCAAAGGCAGGGCAAATGGACTGTGCCAATCTCGGGCGAATACATTAAACACATCCGTTCGCAATGTGTGCTGTGTGTCATTCTCGAAGTCCACCTCAGCCAGGACGAGACCAACGCCAGCCGAATGCGTAAAATACTCGCCCGACCAGTTCGAGGTGCCAATATATGCAATTCGCTCCGTTACCATATACGCATTGTGATTCACCCGTCCGAATGGGATTCTCAACTGCTGCTCATCCGAAGGCACAATAAATCGACGCTGCAGAATAAAAGAAAAAATCCATTTAGTAGAGTTTATCTATAAAATTATACCACTTACAATTTGTATGTCCACCTGCTGATTGAGTGTAGAGAGATCCTGCAGCGACCGCAGATAGTTATCTTCATTGGGATCCGAGTGCTTCCACCAGGAGATTAACAACTTAACGGAAACACCACGCTCCACAGCCGCTTTGCGCAAGGCATTATCAATTGGTGGCCAGAATTCCGGCCTGGCCCCATTCACAATCAGCGGATAATAATCCATTACGGCAATATTAACAAATTCCACAGCTGTATTGATGCAATCAAGAATCGCATCCAGATCGTGGGTACGTCCACTGGCCGTCAGCGGTGGTGGTGCACTCGAGATGTATGCCCTCATCGTATAGTTCTTATTGATCCGGATTAGCATCGGATGACGCAGATTGTAATTGGAGCGATAGAGCCACGGCCAATGATACGGCATGGTTGTATCTTGCTCGCTGCTGCCCAGCTGCCAATAGGCCCTAAAGATCTTGGACAAATCGCGTGTCAACTGCGGACAGTTCTGGGCAAGTACACCTAGTTCCTTGACCTGGGTCAGTGAACGCCAATCCATGTTGGCAGTGCCCAAATAGAAATGCTGTCCATCCACAATCCATAGCTTAGTGTGCAAGGCGCCCTCATTGGCCAATTTGACGGCCACTACCTGAGCGGCACCATAATTGCCAAAGATCCGGGCATCCGCATGCCACTCGCTCTCCAAGCTCTTATTCAAGGCGATGCGTATGCGCAGCTTGGGCTTACCTGGATCCCCATTCGAGAGCAAACGCTGAAAGAGTCGCTCGCCCGGGTGGGTGCTGCTGTCGTTGAAATCGACGCCACGCAGTGTCCAATACGGGGCAGCTATGTCAATCGTCGACTTCGCCTTGGTCAGCAGCAATTGCCAAGCCTCAAAAGTGCTCAGAAATTTGGGGCTATCGTGCATATAGCTTAGGCCAATAGGTATGGTTTCCACCAATTGCAGTTGGCATGGCAACGGCATTTCCACGGGTTGGTTCTCCTCTGCGGTCGTGCGCCCATTCATTGTCTCCCACGGCAACAGGAGTACAATTAACACAAGCACAAAAAGGATGAAGACGGGTATGATGTACCCATGTCCGTAGCACAAGGCGTTTTCCTTCTCCGGTGGGGGATGGCTGCAGCATGACGTAGTTTTTGTTGTTGAGTTTGAATTTCGATTGTTGATTTCGTGTAACGGTACTGCCTGATAGTCCCCAGCTCCAACTGTGTCGGGCATACAGCTCTGCTTACGTGGATCCACCATTGCAGCGAAATGAAACTACGAAATGATTGCGCATTTCGAGCTAGTTTTTCTTTTCTGGGCTTACTGCACTGATCTATTATTCGCACAGTTGTGACAAATAGTTGCGCCTGCCAGCCCCATTCCCATTCTCCCCCACCAATGCAAACAAAACACTTCCGTAGTGTTGCGCAACGACACATTGCCGGATATCGATAACGATTGCAAATCCAATGGAGATGAGTCGAACTGTGATTTCCTCTGCAATCACAGTAATTTATTTGTTATGTTTTAAATCACAATATTTATAAATGGGCTTTTTTAAATATAAAAAAAAAAAACAATACTTTTTAGAGCAGTAACTGATAATGATAGATTTCATCATATTTGTGCAGCATGCTGTATGTAATCCTTGTAGGTGCTTCAGTCTCTTGCCACACATCTGACACCCGTAGAGCTTCTCATCTCTGCCTTCAACAACCATATGCGCTAAATGCTCTTGTTGTAGGCATCTCATCTTGTGGCTCAAACGACAGAACAGAGCAATAGTTAAGAATCCTGGCAAATGTGATTTTGGCTTCGTTGCCGATTTTAATTTCGTCTTGCAACGATTTGAATTTTTGACATGCCCGGATGCATGTGCGGCAATTGATGACCGCGTCGCAAGTTGGCCTGTCCATTTTTATGCTTCACATTTTTAACTAGTGTTCTGATTATTTTTTGTTTAAGTGTATCAATTAACATAAATCGTTTAACATGCTTATTTATCTCAAGTTAAACCGCCACTTCTAGCGTTCTGATCGTCGATAAGCAAAAATCGATTAATTTTGTTGAGCAACAGCTGTTTATCGTACTCTGTTAACACGACAAGCAAACATCTGTTAAATGCAATTTAAATCGTTATTTACTAAACGTATTTTCCTTTTAAGGCAGAACCCATTTAAGAACATTATTTTAAGAAACATATTTTCAGATCATTTCCTATAATTAAACTAAATTTCTTCGCAGTTTACTCATCGGAATAACATGAATCGGACACTGTTAAAACCATTTCGGCGAATGTTAACATTTTCGGGGTGACCACAGCGGTCGACTATATGCTTAACCACCCACTAAGAGCTCAGTCTGTGTTAAAATCTTCCGGCTGAGAGGGCTGAAAATTTTAATGTGCGACTGGCTTATTATTGTTTAAAATCTCTACACATATAAATTTCGAGTGTTTATAAATATTTGAGTATAGTACGACAAAAATCGCGTAATTATGGCAGCGAGATTAATGAATGCACAGGCACAGGTACGTGTGTTGCCAAATGATTAGCAGGAGGGCGCGGGAGCGAGAGTGGAATCCAGTGTGTCCACACACATGCACATACACTTATGCATATGAAATCAATGTTGATAACACCAATAAAACGTTAAATAGCACTATATAGTACTAAATTGTGAGCAATCAAATTAATGATTTGTTTTCATATGCAAAACAATCAAAAGTCGCTCACAATGCGTATTAAAACTTTTCGCGTTGCGCTTTTTCTAACCTAAAAACCATGAAGCAAAAAGTTGTTACCTAATCGAGAGTACTTTCTGGTCTTCTTGCAATTTTAATTAAATTTTAAGCCATGTGTGTGTGTGTGGGGGTGTGGGATGTGCAAAAAGGTCATTTAGCAAGCTTTTGCAAAAAAAAAATAAATAAATAAATAAAATAGTGCATTAATTTGAATTAGAATTTGTCTTTATGTAAGCATCGTTATTCAACGGCCAATGGCTGCCGAGGAAGCCTATAATATATCTTCGCTGTTCTTATCTTGTGACACTTTGATAGTATTATTTATTACACTATATACGAAATATAATTCTAATAGTTGTTTTTGGAGTGTGCATTTGTGAAAGTCACGCTTTTTCCGTACATTTTTCCATATGCTTGAGATGAACAGATTTCAGTTGGCGAAACTGCTTAAGCAATTTTGATAACAACTGCTGCAATTTAATTAGTGATTTGAGGGCAATAACATTTCCAAGGTTCACACGCATTTCGCAGTACACTCTGTCAATTGGTTGAATGACCTTTTGACGTCAGTAGTTTGCAGTTTCTTGTTTGTTTTTGTTGCTGTTTATTGATCACATGCCCTGGCACTGACTAGTTAACTGTACAAAAATTAGATATATATTATTCATACAAAATTAGCATTTTTTTTTTTTTTTGGTACATCACTTTATAAAAAATAACATTTTCATTTTACAAAACAACAACTTATTTTTTATATAGTGTAAATTATGATTCAATCAAGAACTCCCATTTTTTATTTGTTATATTTATTTGATTAAAAATCTGTTCCATTTGTTCTATCTATAATAAATAAAAGAATAGATAAATATATTTTGTACCTAGAGTGATAGATATACTAAAAATAAGACCTCTCATTATTCTCTTTTTTTTATAAACAAGTAGCATGCCCCGTATCCAATGGCTTGTATCACTTATCGCTAATCTATGCTGATACCACTGGTCAATCAAGTTAATTAATAATATAAGTGCCCGTGATATGTTAATCAAGTATTATTTATGGCACCTCCATGCGAGGCAATCACAAGGTTCACGCACGCAATTAGCAATGGGCAAACACAGATTACTCAACTACGATTTAGGTTGGATTTTCAGCTGAATCAATATTTATTTCTGAATTGTTAATAACAATTATGCTGCTATTATAACTAAAAATTTGTCAATTTTTGTATTTCTAGGTGTGCAAGCTGGGCAAACATGTTGCGGATCCAATGCTTCGTCAGTTTCATGCTTCCTGCTACACCGCCTCCAAGGTGGCACTATCCAAATTCGATTCGGACGTCTATATGCCATACGAAAAGCTGAGCAAGCGTCTGGAAATTGTGAGCAGTCGCCTCAATCGCCCACTGACGCTGTCCGAGAAGGTCCTCTATTCGCATTTGGATGATCCGGCGAATCAGGATATTGTGCGCGGCACCTCGTATCTGCGTCTGCGTCCCGATCGCGTTGCCATGCAGGATGCCACCGCACAGATGGCCCTGCTGCAGTTCATCTCCTCGGGCCTGAAGAAGGTGGCAGTGCCCTCGACCGTGCACTGCGATCACTTGATTGAGGCACAGATCGGTGGACCCAAGGATTTGGCCCGTGCCAAGGATCTGAATCGGGAGGTGTACGATTTTCTTGCCTCAACTTGCGCCAAGTATGGTCTGGGCTTCTGGAAACCAGGCAGCGGCATCATTCATCAGATCATTCTGGAGAATTATGCGTTCCCCGGCCTACTGATGATCGGTACCGATTCCCATACGCCCAATGGTGGCGGTTTGGGTGGCCTGTGCATTGGTGTCGGTGGTGCTGATGCTGTCGATGTCATGGCTGACATCCCCTGGGAACTCAAGTGCCCCAAGGTTATCGGTGTCAATTTGACCGGCAAGATTTCCGGCTGGACCTCGCCCAAGGATGTCATCCTGAAGGTGGCTGACATTCTGACTGTGAAGGGCGGCACTGGCGCCATCATTGAGTATCACGGCAAGGGCGTCGATTCCATCTCGTGCACGGGCATGGCCACCATTTGCAACATGGGCGCTGAGATCGGTGCGACAACTTCGCTGTTCCCCTTCAATCAGCGCATGGCTGATTACCTGAAGTCCACCGGACGTGCTGGCATCGCCTCGGAGGCCCAGAAATATCATAAAAAGGTGCTGTCTGCCGATAGCAACTGTGAGTACGATGAAGTGATTGAGATCAATCTGGATACACTGGAACCGCATGTGAATGGTCCATTCACCCCGGATTTGGGTCATCCCATTAGCAAGCTGGGCGAGAACTCAAAGAAGAATGGCTATCCCATGGACATTAAGGTCGGTCTGATTGGCTCGTGCACCAATTCATCGTATGAGGATATGGGTCGCTGTGCCAGCATTGCCAAGGACGCCATGTCCCATGGCATCAAGTCGAAAATCCCATTCAATGTGACACCCGGCTCTGAGCAGATTCGTGCCACAATCGAACGTGATGGCATCTCTGAGGTCTTTGACAAATTCGGCGGCACTGTGCTGGCCAATGCCTGCGGTCCCTGCATCGGTCAGTGGGATCGCAAGGATGTGAAGAAGGGCGACAAGAACACCATTGTCACCTCGTACAATCGCAACTTCACCGGTCGCAACGATGCCAATCCTGCTACCCATTGCTTTGTCACCAGCCCAGAGATGGTCACCGCTCTGTCCATTGCCGGTCGTCTCGATTTCAATCCGTTGACGGATGAGCTCACCGGCGCCGATGGCAAGAAGTTTAAGCTGAAGGCTCCATTTGGTGATGAGTTGCCCGCCAGGGGCTTCGATCCCGGTCAGGACACCTACACCGCCCCACCATCGGTAAGTTATAACAAGTTTAGAAAACTGTAACTTAACGTATTTTCAAAGTACTAAATTATGTATTATTATCCTTATATATTAAAAATAGAGCGGCGAGAAGGTTTCAGTCGCCGTTGATCCCAAGTCAATGCGTCTGCAGCTGCTGGAGCCATTCGACAAGTGGAACGGCCAGGATCTGGCCGATATGACCGTGCTGATCAAGGTCAAGGGAAAGTGCACCACAGATCACATCTCGGCTGCTGGACCCTGGCTGAAGTATCGCGGCCATTTGGATAACATCTCGAACAACATGTTTATTGGTGCCACCAACTCGGAGAACAATGAAATGAACAACATCAAGAACCAGCGCAGCGGCAGCTGGGGCAATGTACCCGAGGTTGCACGTGACTACAAGGCGAACAACATCAAGTGGGTTGCTGTCGGCGATGAGAACTACGGCGAGGGCTCGTCCCGCGAGCATGCCGCTCTGGAGCCACGTCATTTGGGTGGACGTGCTATCATTGTGAAGTCCTTTGCGCGCATCCACGAGACTAACCTGAAGAAGCAGGGTCTGCTTCCACTGACCTTTGCCAATGCGGCCGATTACGACAAGGTAATATATACAAATGTAATATTCAAAATCAATGTTAATACTTGTGGTGCATTTATAGATTCAACCCACGAGCAAGATTACACTGAAGAATCTGAAGAATTTGGCGCCCGGCAAACCAGTTGAATGCGAAGTGAAGAATGGCGACAAGGTGGACAAGATTATTCTGAACCATACGCTCAACGATTTGCAGATTGGCTGGTTCAAGGCTGGCAGTGCTCTCAATCGTATGAAGGAGTTGGCCCAATAAGTTACTTGCAGCCCCCTCGTCCCAAATATCCATCTACAAACTCAAGACACAAAATACACACACACACACACACAGAATGATACTTATTATGAAAGCCGACATGAATCGCAAGCAATCAAATTATGGTATTTTAATTTATATTGATTTTTTTTGCAAATTGCTTTTAAATTATGTTTTTGTTTTTAACTCAGTGTCGAAAGTGTTAATAGTAAAAGTTATGTAATCGAAACATTTAGAGAAGCAATTGTGAAACACTTTTATATATATACACATTATACATACATTAATTATTATATATTTTAGTTGAACATTGTTTTGCGAATTTTTTTGCTGCGGATGCGAATAAAATTGTAATATGTACGAAAACGAAGACCATACAATTATTTTTGTTTGCTTTTTGTTTTGTTTTTGTATTTATTTATTGAAGCGGACAATAAGTGGCAACATGTGCACACAGTCACAATATCCTTAACCAGGACATATGGCAGCTCATCTCCCCTCATTTAAATATTTGTTTAAACTAATTGTAACAAGTATAAAAGTCAAATTTAATCTTTAACTGTTAGCGATATTAACATATATTAAACTCTACGAAACAATTAAACTACAATTTTAATGTCAAGCAAAATATTCAAAATTTATAGTCTAAAATTATGGCCGATCAGGCGCCTGTTTTGCAATCAAATAGTTCCTTCTCCTTGACAAACTTGGCTTCCCTTTCGAAACGGAGGAAACGCAAATGGCGACACTATTTCAAACTGATCGATTTGTACAAGAAGAACGAATGCCTCTGGATGGAGAATCACAAGGACTTTTGCAACTTTGCACTAAAGGAGGATATCTGGGAAAAGATCGCCATTCAAATGACAAATCGTGCACATCCGAATCCAGTGCCAGAGAAGTGGAAGCGTCTTGTGGTCAGATGGCGCTATAAAGTGCAACTGGAGCAGCTGCACAAGGAGCAGGCTAGATTTTATAACAAAATCGATGTGCTGCCACCAAAACTGCGGTATTCGGATCAATTTCAGTTTCTATTGAAACACATGTTCGATAGAAATAAGTCAGCTAAGAAAGTTGTACAGGTCGTAAGTAGGATTGGATTGGATTATATATTATTATTATAAATACATTTTTTAATATAAGTCAGCGCCTGAAACAGATGCCGGTGCAGCTGCTGTGTCCAAGGTGAGTCTTTCAGCGAAATATATGCGATTAGGCCGTACCAAAAACAAGAATCGCACCTCCTTTGGCAACAAGCTGCAATCATTGGAAAGCCTGAGAAATAAACGACGTAGCACGCTCACCCTGACTCCGGAAGCTTTTCAAAAGCTGCCCTAAAATGTGGCAACACTAAAAACGAGAAATAAACGGGTCTATGCAAAATGTTTACTTTATATTGCGTGTTGGGTTTTAAAGCGGCAAAGCACTAGGTTTGGCGGTTAGACTAAGAACTTTTATTCAATGTATTCTTAAGTTGGGGTAGCGCAGTATCAATATTTTTTGTTATTAACATTAGTAATCGGAATGTTGTATTGATCTTTTACATATTTTCAACATTGTATATATATTGTGAACCGTTGTGTGACATTGATGAGGATTATACATATGGTTGTGTAGGACTTATTTTGAACTTATAGATATCTAGTTAGTTCAGTCTAGGTGGAGATCGGCTTAGCCTGATTTTCGCCAAGTGGCTGCTTCTCGTTGTCATTTTGATGCTTGGCCTCCTTTGGCAGTTCCTTGATGCCAGTTGAACCAAAGCCAGCCTCGCCGCGTTCGGTGTCCTCCAGTTTGTCGACCTGCTCCAGATCCGGATAGAAGATGCGCTCGCAAATGAACTGTGCTATGCGATCGCCACGCTTTACCTCAAAGTCGGCGTCCGAATGGTTGAACAGGACAACACCCAGGTTGCCGCGGTAATCCTCGTCTACAACCCCGGCGCCTACATCGATGAAGTTCTTCACGGCCAGGCCCGAACGTGGCGCCACTCGGCCATAGGAGCCCTCGGGCACCTGCACCTGCAGATCAGTCTTGACAATGGCCTTGCCGCGTGCCGGCACAACCAAATCGTAGGCGCTGCGCAAATCTAAGCCGGCTGCTCGCTTGGATCCACGCAGTGGCTCCAAAGCGTGTTCCGTGAGTTTGGCAAAACGCAAGACGCATTTATCCATTTTAATTTTCTTAGCTGATTGTGTAACTTCGACAATGGGAGAGGACATCTGTAAAAAGTATTTTTTAAATGACTTGCAACAATCGCGCCACGTTCCACACTCTACCAATTTATCTTTGCAAATGAAAATCGCGGGAAGGACGCCACAAAATTGGCTGCAGCTAATCGATATCAGTTGTTCTTGTAGTGCTGAAAAACGCTGCAACATTAAATACCAGGGATGTAACATTTCGTTAAGTTCGCATTGTTTCTTTGTCTACTCTGAACAACGTTTGCTTAATATTTTATTTTCAATGAGGCTGATTCCATAATATAAATAACACTTGTACAGCAGTTATTTATATTTCTACATAATTGTCTAATTGAAGTGATGGCATATCGGCGGACCACCACAATCGACTGTCAGCTGTCAAAAATAGCACATCCAAGGCCAAATGACCGGGATAACGGAATACAAATATTGATTTGCAATAATTGCACTTTAGTTAGATTCATTAGCAAGTAGCCAACTCCATCAGACTTAGTCATGGATTTCACGGACTTTGAAGTGCGCAAGGTAAACGCAGGTGTTGTTCGGTTGATACTCTAATGCTAAAATGAACATTTTGTTTTCCAGTGCCCAGCGACAGTGATGTACATTCCGAACTTCATCACGTCGGATCAGGAGCAATGCATCCTAAGTCAGATTGAGCGGACGCCGAAGCCACGCTGGACACAATTGCTTAATCGCCGCCTGATCAACTATGGCGGCGTGCCGCATCCTAATGGCATGATAGCCGAGGAGATGCCCGAATGGCTGCAGAGCTACGTGGACAAGGTGAACAATTTGGGCGTGTTTGAGTCGCAGAAAGCGAATCATGTGCTCGTCAACGAGTATCTGCCCGGTCAGGGCATCTTGCCGCACACAGACGGTCCTCTCTTCTATCCAATTATATCGACCATTTCGTGTGGCGCACACACTGTGCTGGAGTTCACCAAGCGGGAGACAACTGGCGATGCGGCCGGTGAGGTGTTATTTAAACTGCTGCTAGAGCCACGTAGCCTGCTCATCTTGAAGGATTCGCTGTATAGCGATTATATGCATGCCATCAGTGAGATAAACGAGGATACGCTCTGCGATCGGATCTGCAATTACAATCTGTGCGAGAACACCTACAAGATCGGCGATCATCTGGTGCGGCGAGCACCACGCATCTCGCTAACCATACGAAATGTGCCCAAGACTAGCAAAATGAAACTGAAATTCTGTTAGACTTTGTTGCTGTTGCTTAATATTTTCCACAAAATGCACATGTTGCGCCACTTAGCCCACTGAAGCCAACCTACAAAGCAAAGCAAAGTTAATGTTATATGTAATATATAAGACAAACAGTGATTGCTCGCTAAAGAGTACGTTTCTATATTTATATTTAATGGTTTTATAGAATTTAAAATGTGAAAATTTCTGTATTTAAAATACTTCGCAAAAGTTGTGATTCTTAGGTGCATGGCATTCTAATTAGCGAGCGATCACTGTACTTACTCTTTAAATCTTCCGATAGTAATTTAAACACCAGCACAAACACACGCACAACCACGCACACCATTGAGCAATGTTTCATAATGCAAATCGCCGACTTTATGAGCAAAGTTTGTTGGTGTTTTTCGGCTCACCAAGTGCTTTATTTTTTGGTAACTAAGATGTCTACTCAATTATAACAATTATGTATAGATATATACATATGTATAAATATTTATGTATGTGTGCCCTGGCATTTGTATCAGTGTATAATAATTTATAGATTTAGTTATTGAAAGCAATATATTAAGCAATTGTTATGTGGTACACAGTCTCCAGAGTATTGTTCTGGAGAGCAACTTCCACTAGCCCTTTATTGAAATGGGGTCTTTGTAAAATATATATGTGTATTTGTGCATTTCATGAATTCTGTGTGAATATATTTTGTAATATTTTTCACCAGCTGCACCAAAAAAACCAAAACAAACGACAAAAGCAATTCCAAGCAAATAAATAAATTTGTTGTCCACTGTTGTGTGCTTGTTCAAAAATCACCAGCTGCACCTGCTTGATGTTGTTGTTGTTGTACAAGTGCTACTTCTGCTTCTAGGCCTCATCCTGCCACTCCAGTCGGAATTCACGCTCGAACACCAGTCTATCATAGAGACGCACCTCACTGATGCGCGCCGAAATGTCCAGCCGGAGTTCACTCACCGCCAAATGAAAATTCTGACGCACTGCGCGCTGTTTGTCCGGCGTCAGCTGGTTGAGGGGCTTGCGAAAGACGCTAATGATGCGCTGCAGATGATACTCAACGCTGGCACAACGGCCAATGCACACCCACAGATTCTCCGGATCGTGAATGTTGCCCGGAAAACGGGTGCGCTGATCAAATGGCGCTTTGCCCGACAACAGCGACCGCACCTCGGCAACGATCTCCTGATGCGTCTTCAGATCCCGTGTGCTCAGGGTCTTGAACTCGTATTTGTCACAGAAATACATGAGATCACTGATGGCACACCACGACTGCGAGCTGAGCGTTGTGTGACTGTTGCCCCAATTGCTGTAGCCAGCGCCACTCTTGCCACTTGTCGCCGCCTGTTGCGTCAAGGCGGTCGCGCTGCTCTTGGCAACGACCTTTGTGCTTTCACTGTTGCTAGCAGCCGGGATCGTGCTGCTGGTGATGCTGGGTTTAGTCACGTCCAAGACACTAGCACTGGCACTTGCATTGGCACTGGCACTTGCATTGGCACTGGCACCTGCATTGGCACTGGCAGTGCCATTCCTGTTTACTTTATCCATGTCGCGCTGCAGCTGCTCCATTTCGCGTTCGTGTGCGCGTGCTCGCATATAGGCCTCCTTCTTCTGCTGCAGTTCCTGCAGCTTGGTCAGCTTCGGCGGCGAGTTGGCCTTAAAAAGCGAGGGCGGCGGTGAGCGACGAGCTGGAGCGGCTGTTATTGCCATTGTTGCAGTAGTTGCATCGCTGCGCTGTAGCTCCGCATGTGTGGAGATGTGACCATTTGTGTCCAGCGATGCACTGCGTCCATATTTGGCGCGATAGCGTTCCAGCGTATCCAGCGAGAAGCTCAGCTCCTTTTTGAGGGCTTTCTGCATTTTCTTTTCGCTCTCTGCGTGTGACTGCTTTATGTAATCGTTCAATGCACGCGCCGCGCGTTCGCCTCAAGAATTTACAAGCAAATGCGATCGAGATTCGGATTGAGCAACTCACAGCAACGTGCAAAAAAGAAAAAAAAAATCACTCACACAAAAAAAGGAAAGAAATAAATTCTTGCGTAGTACTCTTTATTTTTATCTTTTATCAATTGGCGGCACAGACGCCGCCAAGTACTTGCTTGGGCCATGTGTGCCTCGATGTGTGCTTTGCCGCTGCACTTTTTATTTTGGTCACTGCCCATCATTCAATTGGTCTAGGGCGGTACGGAACGGAGCACATCACATCGCATGTTGAATAGATGCATTCAGTTATGTATGGATACACACATCACACAGGCTAGAGAATCTCGGGTTTGAAACGAAAACTTTAACGACAACAGGGTTGGGGATCTCTTTCCCTCTATTGGTGCGTCGAAATGCGACGAATCTTGCGGCGTAGCCGCTTATTAGCACGTTTATAATGCTTGACCATCATTAGTAGCTTTGATTTGCAGTGTCTAGTTTGCCATCCAGATACAGCAGATGCCGTTGAAGCACCAGCTCTGTGCTTGCGTCCAAAGCGACGTTTCCGATAGCGCATTAGAACCGGTCTTTGCTGCGATTGCGCGTCAAGAGGTGGCAAGGACGATAACATATCTTGCCAATCTCCAAAAGGACATGGATTCTTTGGCTCAGTGGAAAATACGTCCATCAATTTCGGCTAAAAATTTAATTTTTCAAATTATTTGAAAGTTAATAATAAATATGCCGAGTTGTGTGTGTCTACTTCAACAGTTTTGTTTGCTATACTGATTTTTTAACTTACGCGTTGAAAATGTGAAATGGCTCACGTTTCAGCCTACTTTACATTATATATTTTTTCGATCTTCGTTTGAATTAATATTATTTTTACATTTTGCAATCCAGCCTCGTAAAAGTGTTGATTGAATCAAATAGTTAAATAGACGACACAAGCGCTAATAAAGTGTATGATTTACAATAATATTTTAATTTATAAATATTTTATAATAGTAATAAAGTAATATTAGGCTTTAGGAAATAATTGCAGATGGCACACTATTGAAATGTAATTTTCTCATTGTATTAAGTACAAAGAATTTCATTGTTGTTCTTTAGATTTGTGTGCATTTAAATTAAATACATACATGCAAATATCAATTAATAATTGCTTAAAAGCTAAAGTTAACAAATGCACAAAGTACATTTAATACTTTTTATAAAGCCGGCTCAACCAGCTTAATAGCGAAGTGGCCAGAGTTAATAGTTGAAGGCTCTCTCGTTTGGATCAAGTTATATATAAATATTGCCTTATTTGCTTATAATTACACAGAAATTTAAATATAAATTAATAAAAAAAATGTACAAAACTTTTATTTCTTTCTTATTTTGTTTTTTTGTTTTCTGACTACACATTAAAAAGTTGCGATTTAAGAAAATCTCTAGCTGCTGGTTAATAAACATGCATGAATTATTACAGATCTTACTACAAGGTACAAAAGAGTTAGCAAAAGGGGCAGCACACAAAGACTAATTGGATAGGATCAGGTAAGAATTGGAAGTGAAAGAAGATAGGATAAATGTCAAGGACTCTTAAAGTTACTTGTAACTAATTTACATTGGGATATAGCTGTGTGCGGTAGGTTCTCTCTAGACACAATATGAGGCGGGCACCTCGAAAATGATGTTGCCAGCGGAATGACGGAAATTTGGATTTTCCACATTGGACGCCGCCTCAACGACAATGGTGCGCGCCTTGTCGCCCAGCCGGCAGGCAATGTTGTTGCTCACATTCACACGGAGCTCGGTGCCGGTCACACTGTAAGCGATTCGAAAATGGATTAACATTTGTGTATCTTTAAAGATTGGCGTCTACTTACTCGTAGTACTTCTTGCACACAATGCCCACGAGTTCGCCAATGCGATCCTCTTTCAGGGGCGCTGTCGTTTCGCTTTGCAGCGAAAAGACCAGATCATTGTTCTTGGGCGAATGGAAGACAATCAGCTGATCCCGGCCAGGCGTAATGCTAATGGAAGTCAGCTGCAATCGAAAAATACATTTCAGCATTTTTATCGAATAAAATCGAAGCTTCGTTTATTCTTTTATAAACTGTTTGTTTAAGCTTACCTCTCGTATAGCCATGGAGCGCTGCATGTCACGGAACTTCTTCTTGATGCCATCCAGCTTATAGATGTTGGTATCGGTGACGATAAACGCACGATCCGCCTGCTTGTTGTGCCTGTTGAATTTCTTGGCGAAGCTGGAGAAGAGCACCTGGCGGAAGTTTTCGCCACCAGCGCTGTTCTTCAAATTGCGCACATTGGTATTGTAGGCATCGTAGCCGCTGTTGTCCTGCGAGTTGGCCAAATAATCACCCAGCCACTTGCGCTGCTGTCCCCAGTAAGGACGTCGACCGGCAATGGCCGTTGCTGCAATGATTTGCAATCGGAGCTGGGGCCACTCGCTGCGTGGATATTTGCGCAATATCATATAGGCACGCCAGAAATCGAACATGCGATGCAGTTTGGCTTCCGCCTTGCGTCCGGCCAGCGGTGGTTGTGGCCACTGAATGCTGCGTCCATAGTCCCGCTGCTTTTTGGCATTGCGGAAGCGATTGGCCAGCTCCTGAACATAGCTGCGCAGCTTGTATGTTTTGTAGGCGCGCATAATGGTTATCGCTGCCTTCATCTTCTTGTAATTGCGACGAGCGATCCAGCCGCGTACCTGTTTCTGCAGCAGGGTCACAATGTGGGGGATCATCTCGTTGCGTTGCTGCTCCAGGGCGAACAGGGTGCGCGGTGAGCGTATGAAGATTTTCGTGTGACCATATTTCACATCCTTGGCAAAGCCCTTCTCCTCGATGAGTACACGAACGCCGTCACGATCGCTGCCAGCACGGAAATTGGGCCACGTATAGTGCGAGATCATCTTGTAGCGCAGCAGGAACTTATCGTATCGCTGGCGATGCACAAATCCAGCACGACGCACGCGCACATTCTCCAGCAGACCCAAGTAGCGCACCTGATGCTGCACACGCTCCTCATCGAACACCGTGGAGCTCTTGATATCATTGGGCTTGATGCAGCGCACATAGAAGGGCTCTTTCTTCAGCAGTGTTGCGACCAGATCGGCCATGGAGCGCTGGAACAGTGTGCCGGCGGTCAGTGGTCGTTTGGTGGTCTTCTTAATGTCCTGAGCACCCTCGGGCCACATCTCGCTCAGATTGGCATCCTTGGAGTTGTGCAGCAGACGTTTGAAGTCCTGGAACAGTGTATCCCTGTTCTTCTCAATGAAACCATTGATGTTGTAGATAACATCGCCAGCATAGTGCGTGATACGGAAATCCTCGCGATGCTTCAGTTCCTTGTCCGTCGGCTTCAGCTGGCGACTGGTGTAGTGGGGATGCTTGCTCAAGTTCTTGTCCATGGCACCGAGCAAGGTGTCATCGGTGACATTGCCCACGCTCAGGCACGCCTCGTCCATGATAGCAATGATGCCCTTGTGCGGCTGCTCCACCAAATCGCAAATGATCTGTTGATATTCAATTTGTGTGAGTAAAAAAATACTTTGGATACTGCTGGTTTAATTTTTATACAAAAAATAAGCATTAGCAATGGTCAAGCACTTTTTGTGATGTAAAGACCAACCTTATTGTTGAAATAATCAATGTTGGTCCACTCAATGCCCTCGCGTTGGTATTCCTCCTGCTCCTGCTTGAGCACCAGTTCTGCAAAGAGTTTAACTTAGTTAAGGAGATCTCTTCTACAACTTTTAGATGAGAGCTCACCAATGAACAACTGCTGCAGCTTTTCATTGCAGTAGTTGATGCAGAACTGCTCAAAGCTATTTGAATCGAAGATCTCGAAACCATAGATATCCAGTACGCCAATGACCGTATTGAATCTCGCTTGGCTTTTGCTGCCACGGAAGAGAATAGCACGATTGATGCGCGATATAATCCAGGTGAAGAGGCGATCATAGATGGCCTTGGCCAGCGCATCCTTGCCATACTCGGCCTGTGTGGCATCGTGATCCTTCTTCATGACATTGCCACCAGCGGCAATGGTGCGTTTTGTCAACGCCGCCGACAGCTCTGATTCGGTGACCTGCAGCAGCTTTGCAACAGACTGCAAGTTCGATTTGTTGGTTATGACCAACTCATCCTCGATGGCTAAAGGGAATAAAGAGCGAGAGACAGAGAGATTACTTGGCTGCCTTTAGGTTGTAATAGCTGCAAACTCACTTTGAAACTCCACATTGCCCAAATGCAAAACGGATGCAATTGTACGCCAAATGGTTTGCACCTCATCCGCCTGGAAGCCCAATGTTTTAAAGGCATTGCAGGTGCTCTTGTAGTCGGACTTCTCGGTGAGTATATCCATGCTACCTTGGTTCAAATAGTGATATTTGGCCGTCTCCTTATGCAGATCATATTGCCGCAATTCATTGTCATTGGCGCCACGCAGCAGCTGTAAGGGAAGAGCGTAATTATAATCAGTTACAAAGATTGTATTCACAGTGCTCGACTACTGATCTATACTTCTGATTTACTTTACAGAATATATCTTTTATTCGATTTTTATAATTAACAGTTGAAGATGCCTCCCTCTAATCAAACACTATAATATGCACATTCTAAAACACTTTTATGGCATAGAAATACAAGCTTGTCCAAGCTTGTTTGGCTTGTCCGTCCATATCCAAAACTGATTCCCCAACTATTTAGTACAACAGACAATTAGCAGAAACGCTAACCATAATTGAACTTCCGTTTTAATTGTCGTCATTTATCATTTGCGGGTTGCTGAAAATGAGCTATGGAATTTCGCAGTCAAGTCAGAATACATTTATAATCCAGACACTTGTTATTATATTAAATAATTTTAGTTCTTAAAAACACCCATCAATAACAACAGGTGCGAAATGTTTGCTTAGATACCATGAACAGCACATACAAATTTAATTTGCGGCTGTTTTAGCTATAAAATGTATTTTTATATAAATAAACAAAAACAGATGCCAGGAATAACCATAGAGTGTTACTTTCAAATTGTAAAAAGCAAACGAAGTGACTTTAGAGAGTCGCATAATTAAGCAATATTAATTAGTTTAGGTGTTAATTGAAAAGATAAAGCTGGAAATTCTTTAGCTACATAAATGGTCTCAGCCAATTAGCGAGTTCAGGCTAAATTTGACAGCTAAAACAAACAGAGCGCATTTTGTTGTTTCATTTTGTTCTTGACTCGTAACAAAAATATTTCAATGGGAAGTAGACCAGATATCGAGTATATAGGCTTTATCACAAGAATATAAAAATACGACACGTCAGCGTCTACATTTTGTATGAATGACTTAGTGTTCTTTGCAATTTTGTATATAATTTCAAATGATATCATTCGCATATATATATATATAGTATAATCAGTTTGGCACAATCAATTGATAAACTGTGAGCTCAGCTGTCTACAAATAGAATTAAGTTAATTAAATAATATATTTTTTTTTTTTTTTTCATTATTGTTTAATTTGCCTACACCAAAGACCTTTTGACATTTGTAAAATAATAGTTTCTTTTATGGTTTTTAAATTTTAATTGGCATTTTCAACATGGTTCAAGTTTGTTATGACTCAGGACTGATAGCCACTTAGCCCTTTATATGAGTTGAAATTATTCATAGTCTTAAAGTTTACTTGTATGTTTATTGATAAAATATTTAATAAAATTGCGGTTTTTAAGTTGAGATTTGCTATATTTTCACAGTGGACTCACAGGCTCTGGCTTATGACTCAGGACTCAGAGTCTAATAGCTTTTAGAATATTGCCACTACAAATTGTGATCGTTAATTTGAGATTTAATATGTTTTAACTCAGGACTAATAGGGTCTAGCATTGCTTTTTATTGAAAAATATATATTTTATTTAACGAGCTGTGTTATAGCTTTTAACGTTTGCACATTTAACGCGATAAGCAATAAGAAGTGCTTGTAAGTAATAAATATTTATAGGCATATGGTAACTTGACACTCGTCGAAAATACATAGAATATTTTAGAAATATTTATAGTAAATATTTATATGTGGGATGCATGCATGTATGTAGTATGCACGCTTGTATGTTCATATGCAGAAGAACCGCACCCAGTGTTACCCTCACATCAGGCTGTGACTTTGCCACCCAACAGAGTGACTGACTTGCCGGCGTCCCGCTGACTCACTTTGGTAAATAACAACGCCCACACACACAAACATTCATAACATTCACACTCACACTCACTACTCAGCACTATTAATATGTGGGCATTGAATAAAAGCCCACACCTTTCTTTCACGCTTGAAGTTTAGTACCCACCTGATAGAAACTGTGGAAATTGCGTTCGCCTGGTTGTTGCTGCACCACACGCGACTTCTCCAGCAGATAGTTGGTTATAATGCCACCCACTGGATCCGCCTTGTAGTCGAACTCGATGTCCATGTACTTGCCAAAGCGACTGGAGTTATCGTTGCGATTCGTCTTCGCATTGCCGAATGTCTCCAATATCGCATTGCTCTGTATTAGCACGTTCTTAACTCTGAAAACAATATAAACACATAAGTTAATTGCGATTGCAACATCAAATATTTTTTTTTATTGTGTTCGACCCATCCCAAAAACTAATTACGAAAATGGTATTCGCGTTAATCTCTCGCTTACACAATAAATGTCTATTAAAAATAGTTGTTTTTTTTTTTTTTTAATTTTGGAGGCACTAAAAATTGGCAATTAAGCTGAGGATTTGCCAAGGGTTTGGCTGCCATCCCAGGTTTATGGTTCAACCTAAATTGCCATGCAACGATTAAAGTTCGCGTCGACAAAGTGCTTTCTTGGACGTATAGTAGAATTGTGTTGGAAGCGTGAGCAATTAGCGGCTCACTCAATTCCATACGTTTTACGATAGAGTCGTCTTCGCAGTGATGTCATTCATGTGCTCACAACAGTAGTAGGTTGTACGATTCGCGGGTCAAGGAAAGCACTCTATATATTAGTAGACGTATCTGGGGAATGCTGGCTATGCTCTAATGAGGGATACCGTTGAAAGTTTCATTTGAAATTTGCATGCAACGAGCACACAATGGGAAATTTGTCATGCCCTCTGGCATTCATGATGGGTTTTCGCAGTTTCCATTCAACTCCAAGTTCCCAGTCTCATGGTTGCTCTCTAATAATACAGTTAGCTGAACTTGAGCTTGCCTTGTTAGTTTACTTATGATTGTGAAAGAATTCTAATTTATATCAATTATTATTATCATATATTAAATTCATATTTTGTTTCGACTCACCTTTCGATTTCATTTTGTCCCTGAGTATTGGTCACCGCCGCAATATATTTCATTATGATTTTGGATGCCTCGGTTTTGCCGGCACCCGATTCACCCGAAATGAGGATGCATGTGTCCTGGCGACGCTGCTTGAGCACCCTGTATGCGGCATCAGCGATCGCAAACACATGCGGCACATTCTCGAAGAGCTCGCGACCCTTGTACTTGCGTATTGTCTCCGGGCCGTAGATATTCATCTGTCTGTAGGGATTCATCGATACGCACACCTCGCCAATGTATGTGTAGATGGAGCCAACCTGAAAGCTGCAGAGCACACACAAAAACTCTTACATTAGTTGAATGGTTGAATAGAAAAAACGCTCAATAAAATGTTTGGATATGCATTCAATCGATTTATAAATCGGCCAACTCAAGCTAATAATACTATCGAAATAGGCGCGTGCCTCGCAATGCCCTTATCAAACTCAGCTAACCCGCTGAGCACCTGTTGTTTTGAATCAAAATTTGTTTTTCAATAGGCGAATTGAACTTAATTCGGTTGTTTTTCTTATGGGTTTCTTTATTTTTTTGTTGGAGGTGGGCATTAATGGGTTTGTTTGTGCTGAGCGCCACGGGCGCTGCTCAGTTGGTGATGCGATTAATTGGAGTCGATTGTTCCAGTTGATGTTGTTGCTCATATTGATTAAATTGTTGATGCATTTGATTGACTGCAACGCATGGTTGCATTTATAATGCTGCTGCTGCTGTGTGTTTATTTTGTGTGCAATTTATAAGGCGCCAAATGATTTAGATCGACAGATGCTACAGATACGGCAGGTCAATATGTGGGTCACTTGGTCAGCGTGGCAGGCAATGAAGATGGATATAAATTTGAAAAAATAATCCAGCTGTATGTATTTGTATTTGAAAAAGATTGCAACAATAAGCACAAATTGACGTTTTGATTAGGGTAAGGCTTCTGTATTCATTTAAACAATATCTATACAATATGAAAGCTTTATGGAGTACATAATTCAAGCTGATTAAGCACACTATGAACACCATAAGCTAATTGCCATAAATATTGTTAATGGTATCGTATCTGAAATGTTGCAGTCGTTACGATTAATTAACTAGTTGAAAGAAACGATTAGCCAAGGTAAAAGACCAACCAAAAACCAACCAACAACTTGTAAGCCGCATCTAACTACGAGTTGCACTGTTACAAATACAAATTCATTGAAAAAAACCGCAAATAGAGTGTGGTAACAACAACAATAACCAGAAAACTGTGCAACAGGTGAGCTCTGTTACAAAACTGTTTGTTGGGCGTGTGCCACGCCCACTTGCAAGCTGACTACACAAAACAAAAAACAAAAGACCACCAAATTAACAAACAACGAAATGCTTTGACAGCGTATGCTTGACTTGCAGATACTCTGTACTGATGTCAGAAGTCGTATCAAAACTTAAAATATATTTATTTTAATTAGTATCTTTATTTATTATCAACTATAAGATTATGCGTAAGAAATGCACATTTAGGTATATACAATGACAATTATAATTTATTCATAACTTTGTCAAAGCTAACCCGATTTTAGAACGTTTGGCTTATTGATCATGGCCTGACATCTAGAATAACACTTGGAAACAGGAATATCGATCGAAATTCTTGTACACAATTGTCTCTCTCTCCCAATTTCTACTTGTTGGCTATATCACTTTCTATAGCTATATCAGTATACTATATAAATTCAGTATTGTTACAGAGAAATGCATTTTCTTAACTGTCAAACACAAATTTTGTTAAGCAGTTGCCAAAAACATGCAGACAAGAGCGTCATAATTGGAGAAATTGTTGAAAAACAAAGAAAATTATGAAAACAGCGAAAAGTTTTCTTTGTCCGCATCTCATAGTATAACAAAAACAATAGCACTTTGTTCTATTCATTGTTGTTGTTAGCTGTTTGTGTTGTGGGGCCAAACGGCAGTCAACACATGTTTTTACTTAAGTTTTCAGTATCTATTTATAGAGCTGCCGCTTGGTGCTACATTTGGGTCAAAATGTGACAACTTAGCAGACAATGCGACGAAGGCGATGTAGCAGCGCAGACATCAGAGAGCTTCTCATATACATATAACATAATAACATAATCTATGGCTAGAAAGGTGAACTACTGAACTCCCAAGATGGGGGCACAAACGTTTAGCACGCTTGTTGACTTTTTAGCACAGCGGGTCGGATTCGGAATCGGAATCAGAATCAGTACCGGTATTCGCATAAGAAATGAAAAGGGCAGTCAGCAAGCCGCTTAGTAAGAGTGACAAATGTGATTTCTATGATTTCACCCCATCTGCACACAACTCAAACCGATGTGCGATGAGTGACACCTGAGTCGTGTACTGGTACACTCTGAAAAAAAGCTAACCTAGAATTTAGTAATAGAAATCAGTAACATAATTATGCAGGCGTTCTCCGATTTGCGAAAATGGAAAAGCTTTCCATTTTGAAAGCAAGCCTTTGGATACTCCAGTTTGCAGAAACGGAAATGTTTTCCAAACCAAATAGCCATTTTCACACCCAAAAACAGAAAACAACGATTTTAATTCAAAAGTGAAACGGAAAAGTTTATCGAAAATTTACAACAAAAAAAACATATATATAAAATATAATATTTTTCTGACTGTATGTGGCTGTGGCCACCGCCCACGTGGCATATGATTGACGGACAGACAGCCAGCCCAAAAATGCTGACTGTCTAATGAGGTTACAGAAATTGCTTAAGGCAAAGTGCTTAAAAATTGATTTGAAAAAGAAAAAACGTGTTCGAATCCGAGCAGTAACATATGTGATTTGATCTTGCTGTAGAGTGTGAGAAATTCGAAATGCTGACATGCGGATAAAGTTGTCATGATTTGGAGTGAGCTTTGCAGATCAATGATCCCAATAAATCATACGTTCATTTTGTTGTTGTCATATATACCCAGCCCAAAGTCAAGAGTTTTTAGCTGCCTTTCACACAACTCAAAAAGGGCCCTTGGAAGTACTTGAAGTGCATACTTATTGTCTTGTGCAAGCCCTTCATAAATTTATTTCATTCTGCTCACTTTGCTAAACTTTATAAGATTTTCGTCTGGTTTTGCACTTTAGACTAATTATAAATTTTGCCTCCAGTTTAGATATTGAAATGGCGTGGGAAGTATATAAAAATAACTTATTCACTCCTCAAAGATAATTAGTTTCTAAATGTATTACTTTATAATATGGGAACTTTCCGATCACCCCAAGTTTTTGCGGAATTCGGAACTAGTCTGTGATGTGAATATTTAAATGATTGCCTTCGCGCATTCTCACTAAATAAAGGTCGTCATTCATTGTTAATGCCGTTGCTTTCGATTTTCGATTTTTGATTTGAGTTTTGCTTAGTGTTCGGATTGCCAAATGGCGTCATCATTTAAGCGAAAAGGCGCCAAAATATAAATGCAAACAAACGCGACGATTTGTTATTGCTCTGATGATATTTACACAACTTGTTTGCGTCTTTATTTTTATTACTTAGATGGCAATGTGAATCATTCACACGTACATCATATATTCTGTTAAATATTTGCATGGCTACAACTATTCAAGACATTAATATATATATATATATATAGAGATTGTAGCACGTTTGCTGACTAATCAGTTATATAATTGTTGCCTGATGTCTGTTCGCAAGCAAATTGCATTTGTTCACAAACAGTGAATCATTCGATCAATAATTCATTCAAGATTTGCCTGAGACACACACTTTGGCTAAGCCTTAAGGGTTGCTCTTCACTCTAGAGAAATGCGTTAAAAACGAGAAAATCAATAAGTTTTGTCATTTGACGCTGCACTTTTCACTTACTTGCTAAATCGGCAGACGTTGGCGGCATGTTTGGCCGGCTGACGTCATAATAGCCAACAACAGAGTTGGCTTTAAGTAGGTCAATGTTTCATAAGCTCTTTGTGGATTTAATTGAATTTGATGCAACTTTTCAATGTGGCAGACAAACAGACAGCTAATAGAATAGAAAAGTGCGTGACAAGGCAACAATTCGCATTTTGGATATTTGAATGTTAAGCAGCTAAAATCAATGAAATATAATTATCAGAAAGAAATGTTTCAACTGCAACACTTTCAATTTCCTTCGATTTTCAATCATTTTGCGCAATGCAATTGTAGCTTTCAATTTAGCTTCAATTTACACCCAGAAACATTTGGCGTGGGGGGGGCGCAGACTCACATCAATTAGCAGAGCTGCCTCTGCGCCCCAATTGGTTGCAAGACTAAACAGGCGCTAAATTCTTGGACTCTCGACATGGGCATTAACTTTTATGTAAACGTTGCCTTTTTTCTCTGCTTGGTCTTTTCTTTTCTTTTGTGGCAGCTGGGAACGAGTTGCAGATGCCCCTAAGTAAAAGTTATTGCAACGCAAATGACAAACATGGACGTTCAACGCTATGTAAATAAACAACAATGCACACATCGAAGATGTATGTTAAAGGTGTATGTGTGCCTAGGGGAAGGGGAAGGGATACTTACACAGGTAAACTGTGTGCGCTCCACAAGTCTACAAGGCGTTCACTAGCTGTTTGCCTGATTTGCATACCCTACAAGTGTATAAATATACCTATGGGATAACTACAAATTCGCTAATTATTTGTCTCATTTGAATACCCAGCGACTATGTAAGCGTTCATTACAAGTTAGGCAAATGGGCGTGGAAAACGATAGAGTTATATTCCAAATGCATAAAATATATATGTGCTCTATATAAATAAAATAATCCTTATCCAGCTACTGAGTGAAAACTAAAATAACCTTTAAAATACAAGATTTATATCCGATATCGCAACACATACATTTTTATATTTTTAAATATTCTCCAAGCATTTCTTTAAGATCACCATCATGTTAGCAATCTAGGGTATCTTTAATGTGATCACTCTCTCCAGATTATAGTCAGACTTGAGTTCAGTAGCTGTTCTGGGATTGCAGTTGCATTCTACATTCTGTATTGATAGATTGTGTCTGTCCGTTGAGCGTTAGTGCAAAGAACGTGGTTCAATTAATGGTGGCACAACAAACCGTTGCCAGTAGTCAAATGCTCGTTGCATATATAGACCGTTCTGTAAATTGTATAATTTCCGCTACTATCACATTATTATCAAAGCGCTTATCAGAGCCAAAGTTGACGGCATTCGATAGCAAATAGCTTATCAAAGTAGCCAGGCGGCATATGGAATGTATCGATGTGAAGACTCTGACTCCAGCCAACTATATAGATGAAAGCAC